ATCTCAGCATATTTACTTCAACTGTCACTTGTCTAAGATTTTCAGGCCGAGTATAGTGCCCTATGGAAAGATCCATTATAACAATTTCATACAAATGAGAAAGACCAAGGAACTACAAGTTACGCTATACTGTCCACTAACACCACCAGTTGCTAAATAATCAGCTCATGCGATAACATTGCACGACACTGACCGACGGTACTGACGTTCTACAACTAACTGGCACATCTTGGATGCGCACTCCAACAGCCTTCCCACTTGGAAGGTTCTAAGTTATAGAAATGTGCTAGAGCTGTTAGCCAGTTAGGTGTAGAACGTCTTTCCGTCGGTTAGTGTCGTGCAATGTTATCGCATGAGCGGATTGTTTAGTAACTGGTGTTGTTATTGGACATTATAACGTAACTTGTAGTTCATTGGTCTTTCTCTTTTGTATAGATTAAACTTTGGCTCTCCATCTGAGTCCATTCCTGCATAACAATTTTAGTAAGGGACACTGTTTCCGATTATGGTGTTCCACCATCTTGTAATACCCTGTCAAACTAAAAGGGTGTTTCTACAATACAAGGTTTATCTAATAACAATTTTAATACTGCAATGTTGCAAACAAGACCCTCCTTGCCATTTCTCAGAGTTTCGTGTCGGAAATTAACACTTGTCAGAGAGCTCAACAGCCGCTACTATTCCCTAAGTACTTCTACCTCCAGAAGGGGTAAAATATGACAAAGGCATGACGTTTGAAAACATCACGGTACGCGTGAGATTCAACTGCAGAATGAGTATTCCGCATCCGCAGGAACGCCACCACCCCATGGCAATTGAAGAGGGTGGGAAAATATGGTACCAAAAAGAGAAAAGAAAGCTCCATAGGGACTGTGGGAAGTTAAAGCAGTGATCGCGCAAAGGTTCTAGCCTTGCAGGACGTGGAGCGGACCACAGGCTGTGCTTGGAAGCCCCCCTCCCCCATTCGGATCCGTTTTAGAAGCCCATGTTCTCAATCATCTTCGCCACTTCATGCTCAAAATTCCCCATTTTCGGTATCTGAGGTGGAGAGTGCTTGGTCCAAAACATTCCAGAAGTCTTGTAGTGTTACGCATCTGTCATGTCTGACAAAATCCGTAATATTCACTTCGGGATAAGAAAGTGATAAATGTGTTTATATCCAGCTCATATTAACCCCCACTAATTCCTGTGATCTATAACTGGTGTATATATCTCCATATTCACCACTTTAACTTGGGTTATATACTTTGCTTTATTACCCACTTACAGGTTGTAACTTTTCAACTTTCAAGGGACTTAGAAATTTTCTCTCAAATTGAAAAAGAAAAAAATTGAAGAGAAGAAAGAAGTTTCAGCAGGAATCGAACCTGCAACCATAAGATTCCCAAGCACCTATCTTGACCACCCAGCCACCAGGGTGTTGATGCAGATGTTGGTTGAAAGAAAGGTCTTAGGTCTGGAACACGCAGTACTACCTACACATAATAGTATACTATTGTATACTGGGATACTAAAATAGCTATTTCGGACCAGTATTTCAGGCCAAAAACGAAGCTAGGTATAAATAGAATAAACACCTCTGTCTTGTGTTTATGGGAATATAAACACTGTCTATAAAAACCTCGGCTACGCCTCGGTTTTTATGGCAGTATTTATATTCCCATAAACACTGCGACATCGGTGTTTATTCTATACGGAAACGTACTGATTTTTGTATTTTTACAATATCCCCATGCCAATACGCATGACGTATGCATTGAATCAGCTCAATGATTAGACGGGTAGGGAAGGCATCATCAGTGCCGCAAGGCAGGAAATAGTATAATCTACAGTTGTCGGCAGCAGATGAAGATGAAGGCGCTATACTTGAGGCAAAAAACGAGGCTAGACGCATTTGATTAAAACACTCTCTGCCTTCATGCTTCATGGGGGTCAGAGGACAGCTGATTGAAGATATACAAGGAGGAATTAATAGGCGGCATTGTCCAATGTAGACTGCAACCAAAATATTTGATTGGAAATTGTAACATAATTGGTAAGGAAGAAAAATTGCGCATTTTTTCCCTCTGCGGCTATAATTATCGTCATTTTTCTAGAACGGCCACTCAACCACCCAAAAAAATCTGGATGGGAGCGCGGTCTGAAATCATGCTCGGTATGTGTCCTAACCATTCAAAACGCAGACGCCGAACAAGGTCTGATAATGATGTAGGGTCACCCAGTGCGCACCGAGTGCTGCGGATGAGATCCTCTCCTCCAATTGCTAACGCCGAGATACACTTTTGATTGAGCGAATCCAAGTCATAACGAAGCGTAGCCCCTGACTCAGCACCATTGATGTAGATTAATACAGATATATCGGTAGAACCAGGCCGTATACAAATGTCGCTATTTTGCCACTGTCAAACTTGCGTCCCAGAACACTGGTAGGAGGCAGCCAGATGCCTTTGCCGCATTGGCAATCCGTCACTGTGTGTGTGTGTGTGTAACCTAAAGTCTCGAATTCATGGCCACCTAGACGGGCCAAGAGTGGACGGGGGAGAGAGTGTGAGAGAGAGAGAGATGTTGCTCTGTCTTGTGTCGTACGCTCACTCTTTTCAGGCTATCGAGCAATATTTGCATCAAAACCCTAAGACACTTAAATGAAATTAATAGTATTCATTAGTTTCAGGGAAAGTTTCAAATGGGAAACGCAGTAGGTCAACCTGCAACAAAAGCTGACTTAAGAGAGCATGTCTGAGAAAACCAGAACATATGTGCAAGTCGATCTCTCAGATTTCGCTCAAATTTTGGAGGTAGGTTTGCTTTGGGGTGTAGATCGACATTCCAAAGCCCGCGCAAAATCTTTTGAAGGGAACCATGACATTGGCATACCCCTCAATATTGGCCCAATATTGGCACGATTTATAGGTCTACAAACGAGCCACAGCACAGCGTACAAGAACAAGCAACGAACAAAACTCCATCAAGCCAACATTACCTCACCTTAGAAGAGTTCTTGGGGCAGCACCACTTAGCCACGCCAGCATCCCAGAAGACGAGGGCAATCATCCCTTGACGCCACAAATGATCGTCTTGAAAATAGCCAAACTACAAGCCCTGATAAAACAGCGAGCTACGTCCTCAATTAGCAAACACTATACACCGGCAGATAGTAGAACACTTCTTCTAGCACTGAGGACATGTCCCCCATCATCCTTTTTGGGTTTTCTTGAAATAAACAATTTTGAATTTTTCCACTCGACCATTCTGAAATACGTCCACACTCATACCTGCACAGGAAAGCTCGCCCCTCCGCGACGTCTAGTCAGCAATTTCTACTCCAACACCACTCCCAACCCTGCAGAACAAAGTGTATTGTTGACTCTGACAAGGAAAAGCAGCGGTGATCACTTGTCACTCCAAACGACAAGCTTCTCCTTGCGCCACCAACATTTTTCGGTGCAACAGTTGATGCAAAAGTGACTGAATTTTTGCGTGTAGTTTTTGGATTTTACTGGAAGAGGAATGATGAAATCACGTGGTTCGTGACACAAGAATGCCAGGTCTCGTAGATCACGGTTCAGCAGTTGTTTCGAGTCACCTTGATCAAGCGCACCTGCACTTACATGGATCACCCGTTGATCAAGATCGGATCAAGTGCATCTTGATGTCCAGCTAAAGAGCACGCATGTCGTGTTGTAGGCCTTCCAGCCGGGACTTTCCCTCAATATGCAGCACACAGACTAGGGCGAGTAGGGTCAAATCACGTTGTTCATGACGTAAGAAATCTGCCATGTGGGCGCGCCACATACCCCATGCAACCAGTGTAGGCCGCGCGCTGATCAACTCCAAGCGACCTTGATGCCATGGACAACGGTCATTCCTTGCTGTTGCAGATCTACGTGGATCATCAGCATGTAAACTAGCCGTAGTTCCTGTTGAACCATGTTCGGGATGAGCGAGGTTAGTGTGAAAAAATGCATCCCTGTTCTTACTGCAAGAGGAAATATCTCAAAGAATTCTTGCCAATGCAATACTGCTAGTGCTATAACGATAGTTTCTGAATGTTCTGAGCAGAGCATGCAAGAAATATAATGCATCTTACCTCCTCCCTCATGGTCCGTTTCGAATAGCGCCTCGGGAACGATCGTGATCATGTGCATTGTGTCGTGCACCAGAAAGCATTATCCTACGTCACGATGCACGTGATTTCTTCATTTCTCTTGCAGTAAAATTCAAAAACTACACGCAAAAATTCAGTCACTTTTGCATCAACTGCTGCACCGAATTATGTTGGTGGCACAAGGAGAAGCTTGTCGTTTGGAGTGACAAGTGATCACCGCTGCTTTTCCTTGTCAGAGTCAACAATACACTTTGTTCTGCAGCGTTGGGAGTGGTGTTGCAGTAGACATTGCTGACTAGACGTCGCGGAGGGGCGAGCTTTCCTGCGCAGGTATGAGTTTGGACGTATTTCAGAATGGTCGAGTGGAAAAATTCAAAATTGTTTATTTCAAGAAAACCCAAAAAGGATGATGGGGGACATGTCCTCAGTGCTAGACGAGGTGTTCTACTATCTGCCGGTGTATAGTGTTTGCTAATTGAGGACGTAGCTCGCAGTTTTATCAGCGCTTGTAATTTGGCTATTTTAAAGACGATCATTTGTGGCGTCAAGGGATGATTGCCCTCGTCTTCTGGGATGCTGGCGTGGCTAAGTGGTGCTGCCCCAAGAACTCTTCTAAGGTGAGGTAATGTTGGCTTGATGGAGTTTTGTTCGTACCTTGTTCTTGTACTCTGTGCCGTAGCTCGTTTGTAGACCCATAAATCGTGCCAATATTGGGCCAATATTGAGGGGTATGCCAATTTCATGGTTCCCTTCAAAAGATTTTGTGCGGGCTTTGGAATGTCAATCTACACCCCAAAGCAAACCTACCTGCAAAATTTGAGCGAAATCTGAGAGATCGACTTGCACATATGTTCTGGTTTTCTCAGACATGCTCTCTTGACTGCTTTTTGGCCTTATGACTTGTAGTATGTGCATCTGGCGATATCTGCGTAAGAGCAGAATGCACCTGGGCGGAAAAATGATATCAAGTACCAGCCAGAGTGGAAACACATACGGGAATGGGAAATTGAAAATTTAAAGGGTTAGAGTGCTTACCAGAATGCAGGAAACTTGAACCATGTATTGTACCGAGGTTTAGGGAGAGAAAGTCATTAGCAGTGAAGATATTGAAGGATGTGCGTGGAGTAAAAACTTCAAAGACGTTTTGAATGCATGGGCAAACGCCGAAAGCGTAACAGTTATAATACATGAGTAATCGCATTGGTAAAAACCTAACCAAGACAGTAAGCAAAGGCGGTCATGGACATTCAGGACATCACAGAACGCTTCAGTTTCTTCCTTTATCTTGATAATTCTACCGTAAGAGCATTAAACAAAAGTACTTCATTGTCCTGGTCGGTGTATTATTAAAGAAAGGGAATTCGACAGCTATAAGCAGATCGAATGGCAACGATGTCGGATGGGGGAATTAAGCCTATTTGTTAGAGCTCGGAATCACCAAGTTGTTCGTAGATAACGTCTTGTGGCATTTGGTTTCCATTCACTGCTTCGTATGCGACGTTTTCGTTCGGCACCTCCGCTATTCCATATGCGTCGTTTGTGTTCAAGACTTGAACTGTTCCGTACATCTCGGTGGCGCTTAGCGCAGTTGCACGGGGCTGTTTATTCCGTTTACCGGTATTGTGATCTGTTAGGATGTCTTGCTGTGGTCGACGAAGCCTTTTCAAGATTACTGACATCAGAATTGATAAAATCACACCTGCTAGAAATCCGACGGTACCACTTAAAGCTGCTGTTTCGGTGGTGTTAGAATCGGCCCTTGAGATCATGATCTCTAATAATATGAAGCAGAAAACAGGAGCACAGATTTCATCAGTATAGTTTCCCTCGAACCCCTCTTGCCCTTTCCAACATTCCTACGCGTCATGTCTATCTTGTGCGAATCACCACCCCCCCCCCCCCCCCCTCATCTCCCCCAACTCCGACAGAACGGGCACCCCATTCAACCACCAAGCACATGAGGTACACGAGTGTGGCTAATGTGGTTTTCAGAAAAATTGGGCCAGCTAGTGAAAGGGGCACAGAATGTAACTATTATAAGTAAGGCGTACGTACAAGTCCCCAGGGTGCGTGCACATTTGAATTTGAAAATCTCCAACCCTACATTGCACCTCTGAGAAAACCAGAAATGCGAATCCTGGTGTTAGACCTTGAGGTGGCGCTTGCCACTTGGCGTAGAAAATTGGCTTACATGCAATTTCATGGAAATATGGGAATCGGTTTATTACAATTATGATCATAATTATGTTGTCAACATTCCTTTCCCCAGCGCGGGCGGGCGAAGTCAACAATGTTGTGAATAGCCAATGGTCTTCAGCGCTTGTTATCTACTTCCATGAACTACTGGAGTTCGCGAGGTGTTTGTCACGCTGGGTATGGTCTCCCAGGAGTGTCACGGTAAGTAAGTAATCCCAGTGGTGTTTAGGCTCGGCGAGAGCTTTATCATGCAGCGTTCTCGTAGCACATTTTCATTAGCCTACCCAAGCTCACCTAATGAGGGGTGAAGTTCCCTAAACACTGTGTATTGAGCTGGGAGTTGTGTTTTTTTGCAAGGTTGCCGAGTGTTAGGTTCGATGAACTTCGCCAGTGCTCTGGTTGGCTCTCGTGAGTGAATCAAGTCAGATTCAAGTCAGTAGAAAATTTGCGAGCACCTATGTATGGAGCGACTTACATTTTTCTAACTATCGTCATAGTCGCAGCAACCTCTTCTTCAAATATCCCAAATTGTAACTCAAAATATCACAACTAGGTTCGGGAGCTTGAACATTCAATGAAGAAAAGCAGCCACTCTTTCTAAGGCCAGAACAGGAAGCAAGCACCTTTGCTACTTGCAGCATCTCAAGTTTTTTTAACCTAAATTAAGGCACATTGTGTCTATTCCTGCTCCCTCCTTACGGGTATTCTTAATTCATTACATCTTCCGTTTCAGCCAATGGGCTACCGTGGAAAACCCATCATAGAATTTACCTTTGCACGTTTGACCTGTGGACGCCCAAGATCCATTCTTGTCGCACATGACGGTTCTGTTTCCTTGGAGCTCGTACTTGGGATCACATACCATCATTGCAAAAGTACCAAACTTTGCTTCAGTGTGCCCAACAATCACTAATCCATTGTTGAATGTCGGTAGAAAATCGCAAACCACAGCTGAAAGAAGATAGAAAATTAGTGTTATAGGAGTACGTACGACAAATATAGCAATGGATTCGGATGTAGAGCCAAGGATTTATATATGGCTAACAGCTTTAGCACATCATTTTATTGACCTTCGCATCTTTTAAGCCTCACAAGTTGTGGAATGTTGCTTTGCTTTCTTGAATCGTGGTTTGACCGTATTGTCCAATGGTCTTGCCAGTATCGTCATCGGCCTGCATGGACATCCGCCAACGTCCTTCACAGCTGAGACTTTCAGCTCGTGCTTATGTTGGTTGCGCTCACCTTCCCCTCCTTATGTTATTTCTGTAACTTAGAACCTTCCAAGTTGGAAGGTTGTTGGAGTGCGCATCCAAGATGTACTAGAGCTGTAAGCCAGTTAGTTGTAGAACGTCAGTACCGTCGGTCAGTGTCGTGCAATGTTATCGCATGAGCTCATTATTTGGTAACTGGTGATGTTAGTGGACAGTATAGCGTTACTTGAAGTTCCTTGGTCCTTTATCTTTTCTATATATAAATATAGGCCCCGGAAATGAGTGTACATTCGTGGAAATAGGAGTCTGCATTTTGTTCTCCTTTCTTTGCAACTGGGGTTAGTCAAGTGCGAATTCAAGTCGGCAGGAAAACCGCGAGCTCCTATGTGACGATGTTCCACTGATGATAGTCCAGAGAAAACGTTCTGGAATTGTATCGTTTTAATTGTTTTGTACATGGTTATGAGTGCACAATTGATATTTTTCATTGCCTTTTTACGAGTGTTGTCTCCTCGTCGATTATGAGGATTTAAATAAACGGTTGAATTATTTTATAAAGAAAACACATAATGTACACTAACGTTCGCAACGTGGAAGAGTTGTCCACAAGTCTGGAGCGCTGCATGCTATAGTTGCGTTGCCTTCCAAATTGTAGCCACCTTCGCAGCCAACATAGTGCACTTCACCTGTTGTAGCTTGTAATCCCGATATGTTGCTGTTCGGAATGTTAGGAGCAGTGCACGAATCACCTGCAGTGTAATAGAAAAAGTCACGGTTCGCATGAGACTGGGCTGAAACCGAGTTTTCCGCATCTTTATCAACGCCACCAACCACCAAGGCCCAAGGTGAATGTGTAGCTCCTACAAAGGAGGCAAGTGAGGACACCAAACCCACCAAAGTGGTCAAAGACCGAAAATCTCACTCACAGCATATATGTACATTCCTCCTTTGTGGCAGGACACGAGTATAGTAGAATAGATTAGGCAGAATCAGAAGGAAGAATTGCCAGAGCATGCCAAAGAGAAACCCTTATTGCATAAAACCGTAGCTTGTTCATTGATGACACCTTTAACTGGTTGAATACTTCCATTGTCAATGACAGGTGTCTAAGAATTGCAAACGAGTTCTATAAAACAGTTAAGAGTAGAGCCCACAATCTCTCGTAAACCTGATGACGGCAATTTGCCGAAACGTTGTGAAGTGTAAAGACATATTTTTTATAAAAGAAAAAGGACCAAGGAACTACTAGTTAGGCTAAAATGTCCCTTAACACCACCAATTACTAAACAATCAGCTCGTGCGATAACATTGCACGACAGCTTTTAACTTCAAACTTATAGTTATGGTTCGTTTTCATTTCTAGAAATTTACCCTTGACTCTTCATCCGAGTCCATTCTTCTAAATTATTAGATTATTATGACTCTCTTAATATTGACTCCCCATTGATTTTGGACATACTGGGATTTTACTCCTTTCACAACGAGAACCTGTACGCTTAAAACAGCTGATTGCCTGACAACTCTTTTTTTTTTAAATATCCAGAACAACTTGCATTTAGACTCATAATACTGGTGTGAAGGATATAGGAGGACTGTCGGCTTAATAAGCGAATGTAGGGGAGAACTTTGAATAAGTGAAGAACTGGCGGAAAGCCGCCGTCACGTCTCTTACAAGGATAGGTGACGAGAACACAGAAACAACACAATAATGTATTCTGGTTATCAAAGGAAATAGATAAAGGGCACTTACGTGTACAATGTGGAAAAGGTGTCCACAAGTCTGGAGCGCTGCACGCGATTGTAGCGCTGCCTTCCAATTTGTAGCCATCTTCGCAGCCAACATAATGCAATTGACCTGTTGTAGCTTGTATCCCTGATATGTTGCTGTTCGGAATGTTAGGAGCAGCGCATGAATCACCTTTAGTGTAGTAGGTTTATGCAGATAGAGAAAGAAGGATTGTGTTACAGTTATGACTTGATTTATTTCAGTATGTGTGTGTGTTTGTGTGTGTGTGTGTGTGTTTGTGTGTGTGTGTGTGTGTGTGTGTGTGTGTGTGTGTGTGTTGGTGTTCGTGTGTGTGCTTGGGAATGGGGAAGTAGCTGAACAAAACTACAACACCTGCAGTCGCTCCTGCAACCTGATAATATTACGGAGGATACCTTGATTACCGGCAATTATTCTTCGGGAAATCAGTCTCCTTTTACAACTTTCCCTCAAACTTATGAAATCGGCAATAGAATCGTTCTCGTGCTATGGTTTAGGCTTGTGCGTGTACGAAGACGAATGTCAGCAAGTATGTCTGTACACATCCTCGCGTGTGTTCTTCGTTGGATTTATTTCACGTTGAGCCTACCTTTGCATGTTGAGTTACTCTTCCACGTGCCGGACACCCCGCAGGTGGCTATACCAGAACCAGCCAAAGAGAAACCCGTATTGCATAAAACCCTAGCTTGTTCGTTGATGACACCTTCAGCTGGTTGAAGATGTCCATTCTCAATGACAAGTGTCGAAGAATTGCAAACGAGTTCTATAAAGAATGAAGAAAAAACAATTCAATGTGACAAGAAAATGATCTGGATGTAGTCTTTTGCTATTTTCTTGTTTGAAATGAGCACAAGTTTAATTCTGGTCTTGGCATTTTAGAAAAATTCTCCGTTTAAATAGTTTGAATGAAAACTCTTTCAGAAAGTGGTAGACATCACGCACCTGCATGGTGAAATTTAATAAAGGGGTTTGTCAACTGACAACCGCTCTATTTAGTTGCAATTTACTCTTGGCACATGCGCTGGATAAAATTATTTTATTAGTGATGTCGAAAAATGAATGAAAACTATTGGTCATTTGTAAGATAGCTATTCGACGGGATCGCGGAGAACTGCAACATTCATGTCATGGAATTGTGTGGCAGCATTGAAGGTTTTATTGTCAGATAGCTATTAACTTGTGGGGGTGGTATTGTTCGAATGCTTCAATTACTAGCACTATATACTAAACAGAAGCAAACACCAAGCAGTAAAGGTAGTTGAAAGGAAAGGTGAGAAATATATTAGCTAACTCGGTTTGGTGTAAGTGCCATTCCAGCATACACCACTTACTACTTGAAACACATCCCCAGTCTTTCTATTATGGTCTTGCACCAACTAGCGATGAACTTACAACTTTACGATAGTAAAAACAGTGGGTCCAGTGTTTTTAAAGGCATTATGCCTCGTTTTGATTTCCAGTATTAATAAAGTATACAACAACAACAAAAATGTACGTTGCTCACAGTTAGAACTCACTCTTACACGAAACAATCCTTTTTGATATCGTTGTGGAAACACAAGTGTAGTTGGCTGAAGTGTGAAGTCGATAACCGGCATTGCAGAAAAGCTCTCGAACTGCCAACCCGTCACTCCCTTCTTTTATGTACCCATTATCGAGAGTAGAAGCAGCACACTTCCCGGAATATGCTGAAGGCACACACAGACAAGATCGTGAAAATTGATAGTGTGCACAATAATTTATAGGGAAAAAAGTGTAAATGGTGAGGTACTAGTCTACAAGTAAACTACTGGCTAGTTTTAAGCAGTTTAAAATTCAAAACTAAATTTAACGTTTTCAAGGAATTATCAGTGGCCTGCAGTCGGATGGCAAATATCTTATAACGTAGGGAAACGCCAAAAGACAGGGTAAAACATAATTTGAACAAGACCACCACCTGTAAAAGAAAGCCTACAAACAACTTTCTTTTTTCCATTTCATCTCCTTGTGATCGGGTTTTCGGGCAGTGCATTGTACTGTTGATCAACCAAAGTACTCTGCTGGCACCTGAAATCCGACCGCTGAGCTGTGCGCTCACAACGCAAAGACCGAACATGGGATCATAAAACTACGAAATGGAGACCGTTAGAATGTGCTCAGCGGTCGGATTTCAGTTGCCTGCAGTGTCAATACAATAAAAACCAGTCACTCACGTAGGCTGCTATGATTCAGTTCCTCCCGTCGGTTGGCTGGTATAGCGGCTTGCTGCCCGCACACTACTGGATTCAAAGTGTCCTCTGAGTTGCTGCAATTAGGCATGGGCGCGAGTATGTGTGTTACTATTATGTGTACATGTGTATAGAGTCGAAGTGAACTTATCGTTTTCAGAACTCACCTGTGCAGTTCGGAAGTTGGGTTGTGTTCGTGTCGCTTGAACAATAGACCATGTCTGGTCCAACCCGGGCAAAACCATCAAAGCAAACCGGTTGGAACATTGGCGGCGCTCCCATCATTTGGCCATTTAGGATTCCTGGTGCTTGGCAATTTAGCGCTGGGAGAAGAAAATAATGATAATTGTTTATGTAGGGCACTCAGTAGGTGTTAGCTTGACTTTTGAAAACGTAGTGAAAGGTTGTGATGTAAATATTACCAGTTGTAGAAGAGAGAAGGCCTTGATAGGATGGGATTCAGGTCATACCGAGACAATATTCCATAATATAATTGAAATGCAAAATAGAAACTAGGCTTATCGTTTTCAGAACTCACCTGTGCAGTTCGGAAGTTGGGTTGTGTTCGTGTCGCTTGAACAATAGACGATGTCTGGTCCAACGCGGGTAAAACCATCAAAGCAAACCGGTTGGAACATTGGCGGCACTCCCATCATTTGACCATTTGGGATTCCTGGTGCTTGGCAATTTAGCGCTGGGAGAAGACAATAATGATAATTGTTTATGTAAATAATCTACGTTGAGATAAAAGTTTAATAATAGCTATGAAAAGTATGAATGCCGCAGAAATCACCACGCAACATGACAATTTGTTCAAGGTTTGGTTTTGTGTGTTTCCAAAATCGATTTTCACGTTCCGATCATCAGTGGAAATACGGAACTAAAAAGATCAAGGGAAAAACAAAGGTTAAAAATCCAAAGAAGTGTGACACATGACGGGTGTTTGTCCTTCCTAGATGTGCGTGTGGAGAAGTCAAACGATGAAATTGTAACGTCAATATACAAGAAACCAACATTTACCGGACAATATAATTATCGTGTTTGACTCGTATTGTTCGTACCTGTATAAGGTCAACCTGGTGAAGAATCTGGTGGATAAAGCGCGGCGAATCTGGTCCCCCTCTCGACTCAATGATGAGCTAGGTTTTCTGAAATCGGTGTTTCTCAAAAATGGTTACCCGGAGGAACTGCTAAACAAGCTACTAAAATCAGCATCAAAACCAAAGGTCGTCATCATAGGTCCAAGTCGTTGCCCAGTCTACCTTTCCTTACCTTGGAAAGGAGAGGCATCACAGACATTGTGCCGCACAATCAAAACGCTAGTTACACAAACATACTTTGCGGCGCACTTCATCCCTGTGTTCACTACGATACGTGCGTTCACGGTGGAGAAGGATGTCCTACCATCCCACCTATTGAGCCACTTGGTCTACCGATTTGAGTGCCGGAATTGTGATAGCCCGTACGTTGGTAGGACCCTTCAACACCTGAGCGCACGTATCAAGCAGCATGTACCACTTCACATGCTGCCGGACGCAGCAAAAGCGAACCGCCCGAAGCGGGGAAGACCACGAAAGAACCCGCTCCCTCTACCACCGACACAACCAGAGCAAGTCGAAAACACGGTGCAGAGGAAGAGTGGTGGATCACTAAGCCAACCGAATGTGCCTTCTCCACCGTTGCCCTTGCCGCCACCGGAGCCACCACCAGTGCCGTTGGTGGCTGGGGTTGGGGAGGAGTCGGCAACAACGACAGTACCGCCAATCACAGAAATTGATCCCATTTCTTTGACACAGTATCCGGCTGTGCGGACACCGCAGCACCCTCCGGCGCTTGATCCGTGGGTCCAGAGACCACGGAGGTCGACCGCCAAATATTCAACCGAAATATATGCTAGGAATGGCCAAGGCCCACGCGGAGCATCGAAGGAGACCGGAAGCCGGGGGCAAAACGGAACACAATCTCGGGACGTAGATGAGGTAAGGACAATGGCACGGGACAGACGTAGGAAGGAGAACATGGATGGTATCAGACGACTGACTGGTGGTGAATATGAGTTGGGTGATGATGCGGCGGATGACGAGAATACAGATGACGACGAGGCGGATGACGGCGGGGATACAGATGACGAAGAGGCGGGTGATGACGAGGCGGCGGATGAAGACGAGGTGGATGACGATGAGACGGCTGGTGGTGATGGTGATAAAACGGACGAGGAGGAGTCAGGAGGCAGGGAAGGTGATGGAGCTGATGAGGGTGAAATTCGTAAGAAGTCAGCTGTGTACTTGCATTTGTTATCTCGTCCCGATTGTTTGAGTGCGTATGATGATTCCCACTTCTCTGTACTGTGTCGTGCCCGTTATGTCCAGCAGTTGAAGGTCCTTGAAGCTGTTTGTATTCGCACGCATAAGCCCGATTTGTGTGAGCAAAAAGAACATGTTTTAGCACTTAGGTTATTTTCGTGAGTTTGCACCCCGTGTTCATGAGTTGTTTCTGCACTGTTCATGCCCGTTTGTCACACTTACTCTTTATTTTAGTTCTCACTTTTTTGTAATACTTACCTCAAGTTACCCGTCATGTGTCACCGTGACTTCTTTGGATTTTTAACCTTTTTTTACCCTTGATCTCTTTAGTTCCGTATTTCCACTGATGATCGGAACGTGAAAATCGATTTTGGAAACACACAACACCAAACCTTGAACAAAGTGTCATGTTGCGTGGTGATGTCTGCGGCAATCATACTTTTCATAGCTTTAATTGTTTATGTAGGGCACTCAGTAGGTGTTAGCTTGACTTTTGAAAACGTAGTGAAAGGTTGTGAAGTAAATATTACCAGTTATAGAAGAGAGAAGGCCTTGATAGGATGGGATTCAGGTCATACCGAGACAATACTCCATAATATAATTGAAATGCAAAATAGAAATTAGGCGTTTTGTACAAAAGAGAAAGGACCCAGGAACAACAAGTTACGATATACTGTCACCTAACACCACCAGTTACTAAACAAACCGTTCATGCGATTACATTGCATCGAGAGTGCGCACGTCGGGGGCCGCGCCGTAGCGTGTGTTATGTCGAGGTTTCTGTTATGTACTTCGAAGTAGGATTATGTTGTGTAGAACAAAATTAGTATAGGAGTGATGCCGTTTCGGCGCAGGATTTGATGTTTTACTTACTAGCGAGGTTTATGTACAAGTGAGAGTTGTTATATCGAGAGCAGACCTGTAGTAGTATGTCGATGGTACTGACATTCTACAGCTAGCTGGCAAACGATGTGCTAGAGCTGTTAGCCAGTTAGTTGCAGAACGTCAGTACCGTCAGTCAGTGTCGTGCAGTGTTTATCGGATGTGCTGATTGTTTAGTAACTTGTGGTGTTAGTGGACAGTATAGCGTAACTTTTAGTTCCTTGGTCCTTTCTCTTTGGTATAAATCAATCCTTGGCTCCCAATCCAAGTCCATTACTGCACTCCTGATGAGCCTTCTTTATCAATACGGCGAAACGATCATCGTGTGAAACTGCTGCTTGTTACAGCTGCTTAATGTCCATCTAAAGTGTCAAATTTTTTAAGTGTCAAAGTAGAAGTACAGTGCTGATTTATTCCCGTAGCTTACATAACAAGTTGTTATGTATTCCCGTAGCTATGCAGAAGACGTTATTTCAGTAACGTCTGGCGCTAGCCAGGGTCCACACAGCTTTAATTCCCGTAGCTATGCAGAAGACGTTATTTCAGTAACGTCTGGCGCTAGCCAGGGTCCACACAGCTTTAATACCTGTCCCGTACATGTCCCGTGCCTGTCCTGTACCTGTCTCGTACCTTTCCCGTACCTATCCCGTACCGTACCGTACAATCAAAGACGGGTGGCCACAATGCATAATTCAAATAGGGCTTTCAAATACAAGATCATAACGTGAAGCAACTTGGAAGAATTAGTATGTATGCGAAGTGTATCGGGGGATGCATGCAGGGCGATAATGCGGGTTCGAATCCCAGGTTATGTCTAAAAACAAAGAGTAGACATTTATAAGAATTTACAACATTCCTATGCTTTTTTTGTCTAGGTCATCAAGGCAAAAAAGCATAGCGTAGGACCCTGAGCTTCCGAGCTCTCTCGTTTGGCGTTTGTTTGTTTGTGTGTTTGTGTGTTTGTGTCACGCCTGGCGTTATCCCGTATCTGTCCCGTACCGTACCGTGCCATCAAATACAGCTGGCCACATACAGCTGGCCGCACTATTCAAATAGGGCTTTCAAACGCAAGATCATAACGTAAAGCAACTTGGAAGAATGAGTATGAATGCGAAGTGTATGGGGGAATGCATGTAGGGCGATAGTGCGGGTTCGAATTCCAGGTATTGCCTGAAAAAAGTAGGAAAATTGAAAAAATTATAACATCCCTAATCTTTTTTTGCCGTCATCAAGGCGGTTGATGGTGTCGTATTACCCTTGACCGTACCTGTCCCGTACCTGTCCCGTACCTGTCCCGTACCTGTCCCGTACCCATCCCGTACCGTACCGTTCAATCAAAGACGGCGGGCCACAATGCATATTCAAATTGGGCTTTCAAAATACAAGATCATAACGTGAAGCAACTTGGAAGAGTTAGTATGTATGCGAAGTGTATCGGGGGATGCATGCAGGGCGATAATGCGGGTTCGAATCCCAGGTTATGTCTAAAAACAAAGAGTAGAAATTTATAAGAATTTACAACATCCCTATGCTTTTTTTGTCTAGGTCATCAAGGCAAAAAAGCATAGCGTAGGGCCCTGAGCTTCCAAACTCTCTCGTTGAGGCGTTCGGTTTTTCATGATTCTTGTTCGCATAGCTTCCCTTTTGTTGATCTTCGCATCTTTTGAGCCACACAACTTGTGTGGAATATTGCTTTGCGTTCATGAATCATGGTTTGACCATATTGTCCAATGGTCTTGCCATTATCGTGATCGACATACTACTACAGGTCTGCTCTCGATATAACAACTCTCACTTGTACATAAACCTCGGTATTAAGTAAAAAATCAAATCCTGCGCCGAAACGGCATCACTCCTGTACCTAATCCTACATAACATAAACCTCGACATAACACACGCTACGGCACGGTCCCCGACGTGCGCACTCTCGATACAACGTAAATTCACTTGCACGTTACGATCAAGTGGTACTTGTAGCTAGGCAGTTTAGGCCAGTTTAGTGAAAACCTCCGCATAACGCACCCTATGGTGCGGTCCCCGACGTGCGCACTCTCGATGCAATGTAGAATCATGTGCGCGATACGATCAAGCGTAGCTAGCCAGTTTAGTCCAATAGATGACTTGCACAAAGATTGTCTGGGTTCGAGACGGGGCATGCAAGTGGACCTTCTGACTCTGACTTCACCACCTTTTGAGTTCGTGACTTTCGAACTATGTTAGTGTCGCTTTTTGCCTGATGAACACTGAGCTAGTTTTTTTGGCTAGAGAGTAGAGTTGTTTTGATTCGACTTGTATCGTCATGCCGAAGCGCTGCTGCGCTCCTGAATGAACTAGCAGACGAGAGATAGAACTGAGGCTCCCGTTCCATACGTTCCTTTCCGAGCCGGCCGGGCGGGAGGCAGAAAACTGAGGGAATATTATTTTAGCAACATTGGTGTAGGCTGCAACAAGCACGTCGTGGTCCTGAAGTGTGACTGCTTAAGTTTTTCCCGCAGTGGAAGCGAAGTCAAGCACAACGAAAGTTTGTGGACGTCTGAGAAAGAACTCGATTTCCTTTCAATCTGCTGCACTAGCTCCAGATCAACCCTCTCCTGAGGACAGACTGCGGAGAGGCCAGGAACCTGCCGAGTGACGAGTGGAAGCCTAAACCACGAAAATGAAGGGTGGAAGGACTGAGTATGAGAGCCAGATGGCCTTTAGTAGTACTTCAAGTAGTATCTGAGTTGAAGGAGAGAACAAGTGTGCTGGAGAAACGCTGCGAAGTCCTCAGGCCTGATGTGTACTAGCTACTGTTGAAGTCTCACTTGTTCCGATATGAACATGTCATCAGCCCTTGCTCTGAGCAGCTGTATCTAGACTGGGATCTAGGACAGAGACATAGCATTGTAAACCTTACTGAAGCCATATGTATCCGATGCCTGGCTCTAGTGAGAAAGCAGTTTGGCGCAGGCTCGCAAACTATGATGAATCAGTGAGTGTTGGAAAGTTACATTATACCTCTTCATGATTAGCTGGTAATGACGACGATGCGGCTCCGGTTGGGTCTCATGGGAAAGTTACTTGCATACCTGTTTAGTTGCAACGAGGCAACGGTACCCCATGTACTGAAGACATGATTGAACTACATTTCATCTCCTCCTGGGAGAATGTGGAACAAATAATGCCAGAGTGTGTCTGATACACATCACAGTCTGCTGAGTATGTTCATTATTGTGGACGTAACATAACTGCGCTGTGAGGTACCTTCTGCGTTGGATCTGCAGTTGAGCCACTACTCTTCTTACAAATTCAATACAACGGTGAAAGGATTTGTTGGAGCATCATCAAACAGTGCATTCGCCTTCATCATACACTGGCTCCGTTGCCTACAGTAATTCACATCTTGACGGGCGCGCTGGGACGATACGGAAGGAGCGGCGGGAACCATTGGAGTGCTCATGATGCTGGTTAGCGGAGACGGATGTGATTGTCAGGAACGGGAACGCAACCGCACTACTGTACAGACCAGGAAGCGATGGAAGAGTTGAATCTGTTCAGCCTTGCATGCCGTGTACAGGGACACAAGCGTAAAAATGGCTACATTTCGAATGTGAACTGGCGACGGCATTGTGTGGCGACGACCACAACTGCAACTGTTCAAATTTCAGCATTTCGAACATTATGCTTCCCACCGAATGGCTCACATGACGGAGTTGGACATTACCAGGCTAGGATTATCATTTGCTGTATTTATGGATAGTCCTTGAGTTTTCAGATGAAGTGCTTTATCTTTTACCTGTCGTTCCTTTAGTGTGGCACAATGTCCATGGCTGCTTTCTTGTCTTCATAACAGACTGGTATAATCAGCATGATTCTGCTTTATTAGAGAAGAAATACAAGTAAACATTCCTTTCGGAAAGGAAGCCCAGAAACGTCAACCCCCATGGGCTGTGCTTTATGACTCTCGTCCATCGACGTTAACCGTCGCAATAACTGCTGCATGTATGTTGTGCTGTGCAAACCGTACATGATTTTAACAGCTCACCCACGCCTTCCCAACAGGCTCCTATATCCCATACCGATAGCGTTACATTGAATATGAACTAGGCTAGCACAGTTATTCTTCGTTCTTTTGATGGCGGCGGGTAGCATGGAACTTGACGTGTTCTTGGGATCCTCGTGCAACACTTGCTGTTCCCGGATGCCATATTATTGGGTGCATCGAGGTTGCTTCTATGCTCACTGTTCTTTAGTAAGACAATTTTTTTATAACTGTTTCACCGAAAAATATGGCAAGAGTATTTTGGGTTGGTTTGGACGCCTGGCTTCTCTTCACATAATAAACAGGCATGTACTTCCACTAACCCTACAAGTGCACATGACTCATGAGCTTCTGAAGACAGTGACGGTACTGATCATGTACATGTACATCATGTACATCATGTACACACACTTGAGAGGGACGAAAAGCGTTTCTTCTGTAACTCTGAGTTTCACGGTTTTAACCGATCATCAGACAGCAACTTGACTACAATTTTCAGAAGATAAGATTGATATAGGCTGCAAGCTTGGATCATAGCGCGAATGGATGATCCGGGCTGATGGTGTAATTGTAAAAAATGCGTGAGTTGGTTGATGGGGTGCAAAAATAGGCGCAAAAAAAGAATACACTTTAGGCCTAGGCTCATGCGACCACATGTTCTTCTGAGGGAGGCAAGAAGAAGGACAATTCGGTAATTATGAGCAGCACATCACCTGCGACTGCGAGTGGTGAGAAGGTTATGTGACGGCTGATGGTGAGAATTTTGAGAGGTAGTACTTATTTTCATGCCTGCACTTGCTAACTAGCTCCGATCTTTTGTTGATGTTGACACGCTTGTCCGCCTGAAGGATCTCCAGCTTCTCTCTTAGGCACAGAGGACAGCGCTTGGTTATGTTACTGTAACCTGGAGTCTGGGCGATAGCTGACCAACCAAGACTGTACTCGCTGTTTTGACGCTTCAGGTTCCAGACACACTTTGATAGTTCTGTGCTCTTCTCATGTCTCTCATGTCTGAATGATGTCAGATGGTTGTCGTATCTCTTCTTGAATTCTGGCTCCGTAAGGCCGATATACTCCTTCTGTCTGTCCTCTCCGGTTATTTGGACGGTTGCCTTGTACACAATAGAGCTGATTTGGCAGTTGCCGTCCATCGGACACTGCGCTTTGTCTCTGCAGTTGCATCGTCTTTCCTTGGGCTGTCCATCGTTGTTTCCACTTTTCCGTTTAACGGAGTTGTTGTGTGACTTGACCATTGCAGACATATTCGGCATACAACTATAGCTTACTTTAACTGTATTCCGGTTGAAGATCTTGTGTAGTCTGGATCCGGCGGGGAAGTGTATTTCGATTAGTCGCAAGAATATTTGTCCGATGTTTGTGGCCAATGTCTTGCTGAATGGCGGGTTGTACCAGATGATATTCCGCCGCCTGTTTTTCTTTTTCTTGCTTGAATCCTTGTCTCTCTCTTCCAAGTACTCTAGTCCATCGGCATAGCCACTGTTCCTAAGCGCGCTGTTGTATAGCGGTGCGGCTTCTCTGAACGCATCTTGGTTTGATGAAATATCGGTTAGCCGCCTACTAATAGCTTTCGGTATTTGCTTGATGATTGTTGGCGGACGGTTCTATTGGCTGTGGACATAGACCGGTGTATCGTTCGGTTTTCTATACGGACGATATGTTCCGTCTGCTAGGTCCAGCGTCACGTCCAGAAAATTCACAACCTTCATACCGGTGTCGTTGGTTAGTCGTAGTCCGAGGTTGTTGAATATCTTGCAGACTGTCTTCCTCATTCGATCTGCTTCGCTGCCTGTCACGTCTCGTAGCACTGCTAGGCCGTCATCGCGGTACAGTCCGTATTTTTGCACCCCATCAACCAACTCACGCATTTTTACAATTACACCATCAGCCCGGATCATCCATTCGCGCTATGATCCAAGCTTGCAGCCTATATCAATCTTATCTTCTGAAAATTTTAGTCAAGTTGCTGTCTGATGATCGGTTAAAACCGTGAAACTCAGAGTTACAGAAGAAACGCTTTTCGTCCCTCTCAAGTGTGTGTACTAGGCTCTGCACCTTGGTGTATTGAGCACTCTCACGAGCAATCACAACTCCCTCCGAGTTTACATCATGTACATGTACATGTACATGTACATGTACATGTACATGCAGTGCACCGTTCATTCATGCTGACAAAAAAAGTACACTACAGACGGTGTATACTGTAGCCTTGTGTAGGGTGCCCGCAGTGTAGCCTGGGTGCACAGGGTGCACTTGCCCCGTCTCACTCGCGGCTCGGATCTTTGTGCAAGTCATCTATTTTGCATGTATTCTGCGACATTGATGGTATCTGATGTCGATGGTGGTACATTGTGTATATGTTTGCACGGTTAAACCCGCCTTGTAATGCCCTTCATTTTGAGGTACATCTTGTATTTTACATACGGGTTTCTACATAACATAACTCTCGATATAACATAATTTTTGCGTGGTCCCAGAGATTACGTTATATGGAGAGTAGACCTGTACTTCGAAGTACTTATCTAATGTTCTTGTTTTGTTGTTGTTGTTTACTTTACTTCGCAGATTCTAACGCGCAAGTTGCCCAATTAAACAAAAAGCGTTTTCATGTGCATAATAATTAACATTGCGTTTTGGATGATTGATGATTAGGTAATTACATCACCTTTCTCACACGAATCGAATACAGGGCACAGCGGCTGTTCCAACACTTACAGTACGATTTCACATACGATGATCAAAATGTGTCCTCAAGCGCAGCATTTTTTCGACTGACTGGAGTGCATTCTACTAGAACTGGACGCCAATGCAGTAGTGGTCTGGTGGTAGGCGTTGTGTAATCATTATACTGGTACAGGCATGAGATAGTGCAGAACAACCAACCTTCTCACATACGAATTGAAAGATTGTACATCGTACCTTGGCAATTTCCTTTGGCTTTATCCCAATTGCCTAGTGTGTTACAGACAGCGTAGCTTGCACCAGTATTCCTGTAGCCCACATTACAGTCATACAGGGCTTGAGAGGGAAAGATGACGCCAGATGGATATGTTACTAGTCCGTTACTCAGTGTCAAGTTCTTCAGACATTGATTGCCGCCGATTCCTGAAAAAATAACACGAGTAACTATTTTTAACAGGCGGCGAGGTGACAACAATTTTTAAGATGGCAATGAACAGAATCAGGCAGTCAATCAGCTGAAGGGACATGTTACAAAGGTTTTATTGATATGGAAAGTGGTGATGGACAAGGAAATAACTGTGACGGAAATGTAATGTGATAACCGCAATCAGTAGTACAAGCTCAATCGACATTTGCGTACACTGTATTCATGCAATGAAAATCTGTGGAGACAATGTGCAATAAAACGATGAAAATATGAAGAAATGGTGTAGAGAAAATAAGGATTCAAACAAGTTTTCATGGACCACTCATCAGGAATCGTCGTTGTACTGAAGGACCCTGAAAACAAAACTGAACTAATATAGAAAATCTGAGTTCGAGAAGTAACACTAAGAACAACAGCAGTGAAATTTTAAAGTGTGAATTGTAACAGTGAAAGCGAGAGCAATATCGAATGCGCGTGCTAACAATAAACTTGCAACAGAAAAATGAACAAACAAGAAAAAGAAAGAAGGAAGGACAAAGTGATAACAAAGAACAGCAGTACATAACACCTAGAACATTAACGGCCAAACTTGGCCGCACCAACCACGACACGTTACTTAAACAATTTCAACCCAATTATACTATCTTCCTCTCCACACAAATTATTGAAAAGGTATTGAAAGGCAAACAAACTGCTAGGGCTCCTTTGATTGGTTCTGCTCGTTGTCCCAACTACTGTAAATATACAAAATTTCGGCGCTGCAAAATTTCGGCACTTCACGATTTTTGACATTTCGGCGGCGATTTATTTTCGGCGTGAGGCAGAGGGCATGGTATAGTGCGACAGATGCTGTGAAAAATTTCATCGGCGTTTTAATTTAGGCGGTTTGGGTCGGTGCCGACTATAGCCGAAATTAAAAAGCTGCCGAAAATTTGTATATTTACAGTATTTATGTCGGCCTTGGAAAGGGCAGGAGTCGACTAAAGTTTGTAGTGCAGTCAAATCTGCTGTTCGTCGAACATACTATGCATTACACTTTGTGCCAGTCTTTACGACGATGCGTTCGTTTACGGTGCGGAAGGATGTCCTACCAGCCCATCACCTTAGTCATCTTATTTTCAACTGTGAATGCCGACAATGCGCTAGTCGGTATATTGGTGGGACTGTTCATCACCTGAACGCACGCATCAAACAACAAACATCACATCACATACTTCCACCTTGCGCATAACAACAAAGACCGAAGCGAGGGCGACCTAGAAAACAACCGTTACCTACACAACTTGCGGATCCTGGCGCACAGACTGTGCATGATCAGCCGTCACTGGTGGTGGTGATGGAGGAGGGTGGGCGTGGTGGCTCATCGGGCCGGCTTGTGTCGCCGCCTTTGCTCCTGCCGTGGATGGTTCCTTCGTCAGTGCCCCCGGCGGCTTTGGCTGAGGCGGTGCCGCTTGCGGTCCCGGTCCCACGGCCTACTCCTGATCCTCCGCCGCCGGCTCTTGCGGCGGTGGAGCTTGCCAGTGACAGACCGCGAGCAACACCGGCAGGGGCATTAACACTACAATTGCCAACCCAAAAAGACCCACCTTGCGTATCGGCAGCTCCAACACCATCACCAAAAATGCAATCTACAGCAACCACAACTAATCCACCATCCAAGCCCACTATTGAAAGACCAAGACCATCAACAGCCAACTACAACAGAAACTACGCACTCAACGCACAAGGGCGCAAGGAGGGACGTGACAGCAGAGTAATGGCCAAGTCCCGTTCAATGGAACAATTGAGGCTGGATAACAGAGAGAGCGCAGAGGAAGCGGATGATGGAACGGACGGTGAAGGGAGCAATGAGCGGGAGAGCGACGATGGTAGTGATCGTGAGAGTGCCGGTGAGAATGTTAGTGTTGTGCGTAGGTTTCGTGGCAGCAAGTTTTCAGCGCACAATCATCTGCTAGCAATTCCTGATTGTTGCAATTCGTATTCCGACTCTATTTTCACTGTATTGTGCCGTGGTCGTCATGGCTATGGATTACAATTAAAAGTTTTGGAAGCCATCTATCAGCGTCTGTATAAGCTTAATTTCTGTGTACAGAAAGATAGTAAAATTGGTTTGAAATTGTTCAAGTGACGTGTCGCGCTTGGTGCGGCCAAGCTTGGCCGTTGATATTCTAGTTGTAGTGTACTGCTGTTATTTGGAATCACTTTGTCCTTCCTTCTTTCTCTGTCTTATTTGTTAATATAATTATTCAGTTGGAAGTTTATTGTTAGCACGCGAATTCGTTATTGCACTCGCTTTCACTGTTAAAATTTAAACTTGTAAAGTTCACTGCTGTTGTTCTAAGTGTTATTTCTATAACTTAGATTTTCGATAATAGTTCATTTTTGTTTTCAGTGTCCCTTAGTACAACGACGACTCCTGAGGAGTGTTGTACGAAAACTTCTTTGAATCCTTGTTTTCTCTACACCATTTCTTCATTTTTTCATCGTTTTTTTCACATTGTCTCCACAGCTTTTCATTGCATGAATAAAGTGTACACGTATGTCAATTCAGCTTGCATTATTGATCATTGATCACAGATTATTGATTATTGATCATTCCTCCATTATCATCATTATCATCCTCTACTGATGAGCTCCGACAGGGAGTGAAACAGCTGTCTAGAGGCGTGGAGCAATATTATCTCTCAACGGAAGTGTCCTTGCTGGTGTCTGTATGGTTCGGCTGAAGAGCGCGTGGTTGTGATGAGTTGGGAATGCGATGAAAAATATAAACATTAATCGATCTAGCTTTCGCACACGGCTCATCAGGAAGCATCGTTGTACTAATTTACAAATTGAAAAATAATACCACTATAAAGGATCAATAATGACGTCATAACACCTAAACAATGTCAAAAAAATATCACAAGGTATTCTTGAACGATACCATGTGCGTCAAAGGTAACAATCGAACACTCCAAGTGGATATAATTCAAGTACAAAACAACACTTATGACACAATTCTGGCCGAACACGGCCAGATAGAGTTACCTTTTTTGTCCATCACAACCGTACATTTCAATAAAACCTTCGTTACATTTCGCTTTTCTGTTCATTGCAATCTTAACATGTAACTTAACTATAATTATCCTACCTTAGTTTCAGGACTTGTTTGCACATTGCATAGCAGGTTATATCGAGAATGTGGGATTGGGGGGGAGGGCGGGGGGGGGGGGGTGGAATGATACTGATATAATAGTTTTAAAGGCACATACGCGTGGGTTGTGGGGTGCCACGGTGTGCAAATATGATTCTATTTCATGTCGTTCCTGGCCGATGCAAGCTCATTATGGAACTGTTTAACGATTTGATGAAAACATATATTCCCTGTAATCCTTTCGGACTTGATGACGCTGAGAGTAACTTAAAAAGGCAGAAGATCTAGCAATTAAAACAAACACTATGGCCGTACTTGCGTCATGACGAGATGATTGGCAGATAACTATGGCCGAAGGCGAACACAGTGAAGAGTTCGGAGTGCATCCCGTGGAACTGTATGCTCCAACATTGGTCTGAAGTCTGCTGTTGATGTGGCTCAAATACATTGAAACACACAGTTCCTTTCCAGCTGTACTAACAATCGGATGGCTGTTCCCTGTAGTTGTGCATCTATTGCTAGCTGCTGCCATGCTGGTCACACGCGGCCAGTCCTGTGAGCTGATCAAGTATTCCCCAGCGCTGGTGTTACAGTTGAAATACACTGCAGAAGCACAATAATAAAGGAATGTTTTAATGGAGTCGATTGTGCACGTATGAAAAAGACAGCAGGTAGAAATGAATGGCCAAACCACAAATCAGGGGCATGCGAGTTGATTCATGGACTCAACACCATTAAAGGCAATAGCAATAACGACATTGATCATGGCGAAAATTACGAAGAATGCAACACCAAAGATGATGACGACGACTAGAACAACACAAATTACATGCACATGAAAACCAAGGGAAGCACCACAAGCCGACGGACTGGTTTTGATGACGGCATTGGATTGGCAAGGGATTAGAACAAGCGTCGACTGCAAAGTCGACATTAACCAATACAACACAACCTTTTACCGCCAAACAGTGCTGCATTGATGTACAGAAAAGCCACTGGAAATCAAAAAGCATGTTTTCATTGAAAAACTCAGATGGTGAGCCAATTTAATTACGGTAGAACAGTTAGTCATAACACATAATATCTCGTCCTTCTTCTGCTTACATTGAGATGATATACCTTTGTCTTCAGGTTCTCAAGAGAAAGCTACGAGTAATAGATACTTTAGATTCATGAACCCTGCATACAAAACTACGTGTACATGTATCAGACAAGAAATAGTTGAGGCATCGTTGCTTACGTGCATATTTCAAGGCCTGCAGTTCTGTGATGAGAATAGTCAGTCCGACGAAAACCTTGATTGCAAGCAGCCTCAATGCCATACTGCTCGGGATCACAATTCTGGCAAGCTGTAACCGTAACAGTGCTTCTTTGGCTAGGCTTGCAATCTTCAAACAAAACAAGTTATAGGAAACACGGTACATAGTCAGAAATTGCATGTACATGTACGTATAAACCAAGGGTAAGAATCTCTGACGCACTCCACTTAATTTCAGCATGTTGAGGAAGCATTTTGTTGGGCTTTGCTTTCTACAAGTTTTACCAAGACCAGCCACCGTCTTTGTTCAGCTCTGCATAAACGAAACAGCTCAGTGTGAAAGAAATCCTTCTTTTCCTTAGCTGCAGATTTTTCTTCTTGTTGCACTCTGTACGTTGACAAACCGCTCTAATTTTCATAGAGAATTGTACAGCATGTCCTCTGCACATATGCCCATAAGCTTGTGTCAAAAGTTCATTTGAGTTTAAAGTGGGAAACGACAGACGATGATTATCTGTACGTGTTGGCCGACAGTTCTTTCTTTGGTGAACTACCTTCAATAACTAAACCGGGATACACTATCACGTCTGCGTTGCCATTAGCGGTACAAAAGTCTTATTTATATCGCGCGAGTAGTATTCCATGCACTATGCACAGCGCCAAAAGTAAACTAATTACACATGACCTCACATCGCTGGGAAATCTAACATACCACACGTAGTCCAAACCCGTACTCTAGCTTGCATCACGTGGGCGTGTATGTATGTGTGAAGTGAAGCAAATCGCTCATCGACGGTTGCAGGAGTTGCGCTTCGCTCAACTTCCCCTTATGTGACCCTTGACAAACTACAGATCGTATTTCTCTCCTCTCACCGCATCGCAAGAGTGATATTGTGAGTAAGTAAAAAAAAAAGTAAATTATCGTATCCGTTCCCGAAGGGAACTCACGACGGCCGCTAACACCCGATAATATTGTGAGTGGTGATTCAATAAAAGCAGCACACGATTCAATCCTATGTACTGTGTAGTGGAGTAGCTGCACCATTTGTTCCTAGTTCCGGTCACATCAATAATATGTCCCATGCTTCATGGGCAAGTGGTAACAACAGGCTAAACGTAATCCCCTACCGGCACACAGATAAGTAAGGAGTGATACGCATCGCACATCGCGTTTGGCCAACGTTGAACTTGGCTCCTGTGACCTGTGAAAAGGCTGCAACAAACAGCTGATCACATTGAGCGTCGCAAATCGTGTCGCGGGAGCGATGTTGTGCATTGCACTTCAGTGATAGCATTGGCATCACAATGATCAATCCTATGTACTGTGCGGCAGAGCAGCTAGAACGTTTTTCACTAGTTCCGGTCACATCAATATTTCCCATGCTCCGTGGGCATCTACTAACAACAGGTTGTACGCAATCCCCAACCCCTGCAAAGCACTCACTGTTTCGCAAATCATCTCTTGTAAACACTAAAAGTCACTGATCGCCATCAGACGAAAGCGATCGAAAGGAAAGGATCAGTGCTGGGATGTTGAATATTCCATGCTTACAAACCCGTGTCAGTCGACAAACTGTATCAGCATGGTGTCGAACATTCTCTGCGTATGCTACTCATGAGAAAGGCGCAGAAGGATGTGTATGCTTGTGTCGACTAGTTTGAAGTCTGGAAGACACAGACTGAGATTACCAGAAATAGCGCTGATCGTGACCAGATGTTACTCTACTGAAGCAACAATACCCACACTGGTTTGCATATAATACGGGCTAGTGCGGCGGATGGTTAACAGTAAGACCGTTACGTACATGGATATCAAGTCCAGTACTGGTTTCAGCGTCGGCTCCTGACCAAGCGAGTGTGGCTAAAGGATATCGATGTGTTTTACGTGCCGATTAAGCACCTACGGATAAGTCTGACTAGGGGGAATTGATTATTTTCCCCAAACAGACGTAGGATCTGCCACCCTGTTATGCCAGGAATGGAGTTGGCCTGACACAAGCAAAGCTTTGTCAGCTGTGTGTGTTCTTCAACGCAATTATAGAGAGGGTGGTGACACGAGCATGTAAACGTTATTTTCTTTTGTGTTGCTGCAATATTCTTGGAGGGAACCATACTGAACTCACTACGCAACATATACTCACTTCATGTGAAATCCGCGAATGATTTGAAATTGCAACCATAGCTAAGACAATGAATGCGTTAAAGGCCATAGCCGCATGCTTTCAGGAATAGTACAGAATTTGTCCTTAATAGATGGGTTCTGCATACTGGCACCAAGTACAGCTTGGAAACACTGGGCATAGCCTGAGATATCCACCTGCCCCGGTTCATTGATGTTGTGAACCTTTGTTTTATAAAAGCACCTTTCTAGCTACTAGCAGATATGATTAGCTTAGATTCCAGCCCTTTCAAACAGCTCATGCCTTTCCAATACCACATATTGAACAGTTGTTTCTTGTTGATCGTGAACTGAGTCGGTACTTTGAATACCTCGAAGCACATGTGCGAATGTATCTTTGTTTGGATAGAAGTAGTCCGATAAAATCGACAAAGTAAGAAAGTCAGGATCACGTTTCATTGTCCAAGAGGTCGCGGATGATATTGCTTAAGGCACGAGCGTTGGAATCTGGTAACTTCGATCAATGCAGTACATGTACTATAAAATACTTTCGTTTTTTGTGTATAATAATAATAATTCGCGGGATTCGCGTTGGCATCGCTTGAATGTTCAGAAACACACAAACTAGCCTTCGCTTCCGCAGGCCACCACTATGCCTATGCCTTGCACACCTGAGTGGCGAATGCAGACCTCACAAGTGAGTCAGGGGAGAGAAGGTGAGTCCCTCAACCAATCGGGCGTGTTACGGCCCATAACCCTGTTAACTGCATCCTTGTTACCCTCACTCCGAGCTGCGAGTACCCAGTTGACCGTGGGTGTCGGCGCAGTTCACCACGCATAAAAAGTCTTCACTCACGTAAAAAGTCTTTACACGCTCCCTGCTACCAGCGCAGTTTTGTGTATCTGCAGGGCAAACAGTTCCAAGCTGACCACATATATTGCGTGGAAGGACCGCAACAAAGCCCCGCAATCACATACAAAAACGATGGCATTTTGCAGGAAAAGACACGAATATCTGTCCTGCTTTGAATTAGACTTGACCTGCAATACACTGCGTGAAAGATGAAACAGATGAATCCCAAAATGCACTCACCTCAATACCGGGCAATGTGAAAAGCCTTTCCAACTCCAGACGCTGAAAAACGATACTGTACTATCTACATAAAAACTATAAGTCAGGACAAGGTGATCAAGTCTCTCAAAATTGTGCCTGTAAGTGTACTTTTCCCCAAGGATGAAAACTGAAATGGTGTCTCTGATAACTCCAAGGGCAGTCTTATATGCCAAAATTCTTAAGTATGTCGTCATGGAGGTATCCTATCCCTTGTGCCTGCTCTTTAACATGTCATATCGTACAGGAGTATTTCCGTCCGTCTGGAAATCTGCTGTTATCGTCCCGATCTATAAGAAAGGCCAACGCTCTCAGGCTGGCAACTACAGACCAATCTCTCTCCTTCCCGCTGTGTCCAAGGTCTGTGAACGTATTTTCTTTGAGTCTCTGTACTGCCACGTCACGCCAGCGCTTTCACCATCTCAATCCGGTTTCTGCCGTGGAGACTCCACAACTTTCCAACTAACACGTCTAGTACAAGACATCTACACCCAGCGGAACCTCAGGCGGCATGTTGGCATCGTGTTCTTTGACCTAGCGAAAGCTTTCGACACCGTCTGGCATCGTGGTCTGCTTGCAAAGCTAGAGTCCGTCTTCTTGGTACATGGTCCAGCCCTGCAATGGCTCTCATCCTATCTTTCCTGCCGCCACCAGACTGTCAGAGTATCTACCTCCCTATCAGACCCATTACTAGTCGTGTCTGGGGTACCCCAGGGGTCCATACTTGGGCCGCTCCTATTTCTACTGTACGTTAATGACTTGCCAGCCCTTGTACCAAATGTAAGTCTTTTTGCTGACGACACTGCTCTGATGTGCTCCGACAGCTCGGCAGACAACCTCACGGCCTCCATGCAGTCCGGGGTCAACGCTACAGTAACATGGATGGAAACCTGGAAACTGAAGCCTAACCTCGCCAAAACCGAGGCCATGTTCTTCTCTCCCTCGCCCCCCACTCAACTTCTGTACTTTCCTGGTCTAAATAGTACACCTATTAAAGTTGTTAACGAGCACAAGCACCTGGGCGTTATTCTCGACCGCCAACTCTCCTGGTCTCCACAAGTCCAGTCTGTGTGCAAGCGTGCGAGTGCGTCCTTAGGTATGCTACAACCCCACTGCCAACACTTGAATGATAACTGCAGAAAATTGTTCTTTAAGTCGTTCATTTTGCCTATATTTGACTATTGCGATATAGCTTGGTGCGGGTTGTCTCAGACTTTACTCCACAGACTGGAGGTCCATCAACGCTTGCTTCTGAAAATTCTGTTTCGAAAAGACCAAACATTTGCCTCCCTTTGTCTTTATAAACTTGCTTCCACGCACCCTCTTCTTGCCCGACATCAGCAGCATCTTTGTATCCTTGTGCAAAAAATCTTCCTAGCCCAAGTCCCGAAACATATTGCCAAGTACAACTGGTTTGTTACCACTAGACCAACACGCAATGCCTTATCACTGCCCCGAGCTAGTTCCTCTCTTTTTTTGAAATCCCCTTTCTTCTCAGCATACTCCCTTTGGTCTAACCTGCCTACTAGCATTAAGACATGCCAGGATATCAGGAAATTCACAGTCCAGCTTTCCACACTGTCTCATCCGAAGTGATCCCATGTATTATTAATGTGCCTCCCTTTCTTTTCTCTCCCTATCTCCTTTCCCTCTCTGACAGCATCCTTCTTTTTTTCCCTTTTAGCTTGCCGTGGTTGGCTATCACCTGACCTCTCATGTTTATTGGCAGTCTTCGGACGGGCCAGGAGATGTTGAATAAATAAATAAATAAATCACCAGCCGTTCATGTGCGAGTGGAGACCATTTGTGCGATGGGTGGCCGACTATCGGAAGTAGGGTTCGCAGCTCGTTGATGCCAGCAGGTCATCTTCCCACATATAAGTATTGCGCCATACCTAGCCAAGTGGAACATAAGGTTCTCGACCGACACGCAGGTTGGTCAAGAAACGTGACACTTCTGCGCCGTGAAGATATTCAAATTTGTTCCGCACACTGCGATTAGCACCAACCCGTCAGCATCGCACGTTTGAAAAGGTAACGCCATGATCATGCATCGACAAGAAAAATCACCAGGATTGAATCGACCTAATGCATAATTTTTCCAAGAGGCGTAACGTTTCCTCAACGTGTAGATCAGAACCACTAAGGAGCCAGAGGTCCAGAGGGCACACCTTTGTCTGCAGTTTGCTAAGGAGTGGTGGCCCAGTAATCGGAAAATGAACTACTGCTAAACGCTCTTCCTTTTGAGGCTTTTAGGGTTGTTGCAACCAGTCCCATGTAAGTATTGATATTTCACGGTATTGTAAGTTCACATATTAACCTGTTCAAGGTGTTGGAACTTGAAAGGGGAATAAAATTGTTGTTCACCAACTGGCATCAGGCACCATCACTGTAGCCCAGCGATGTCTGAGCCACTAACCTATGGTTTAGCCTTCACACAAGCATCACAGGATCTTAGCATATTTACTTCAACTGTCAGTTGTCTAAGATTCTCAGGTGGAGTATGGTGCTCTCTGGAAAGAGACAGTACAACAATTTTAATACAGCAATAGGCCTTGGCGGATAATGCCGGCAGAAAAATTGGCAGTATTCTGTACTTTTTCTGGTACGTTTCATGCATGTTTGGTATGTGGATAAAGAAATGGAGCAGAATTCGAGAAATTGCCCGCCATATTATGGTTTGTATGGTTCTGCCAATTTCACTGCTTTTCGAGCAGAATCTGCCAACTTTTTCCAGCAGAATCTGCCAAGGGCTATACAGCAATGTTGCAACCAAGACCTTCCTTGCCGTTACTCAGGGTTTCGTGTCCGAAATTCACACTCTTCAAGTAGAGTAACATTAACCATTTTCAGATAGCAAAACAGCCTCTACTGTGCACTACGTACTCGTATGGGAAGAATGAGTAAAAGATGAAAAACGCATGACATTTGAAAACCACGGTTCGCGTGAGAATTGGCTGCAGGCCGAGTATTCCGCATTCGCAGGAACGCCACCGCCCCATGACATTTGAAGACGGCGGAAATATTAAGTAGCAAAAAAGAGCCACAAAAAGCTCCATAGGGACGTTAAGTTAATGTATTGATCGCCCAAACGTTCTACACTTGCTGGACATTGAACGGATCAAAAGCTGTGCTTGGAAGCCTTCGTTGTGGAAGCGCATTTACCAATCGTCTTCTGAACTTCATCCTCAAAATCCTCCAATTTTGTACCTGAGGTGGAGAGTGCTTGGTCCACAACATCCCAGAAGTCTTGCACTGTTGCTCGTTTGTCATGTTAGACAAAATTTGTAAAATTCAGTTCGAGATGAGAAAGGGATGAAACTGTACTCGTGCGATCGTACTAATTTTGCATTTTTACAATATCCCCATGTCAATATACATACTTCCTCCGCGTCATCGAAATTGTCGCAGTTTGACTAGTGAGTTGTCACTTGTTACTGACAACTCCATAAGCTAAACCATTCAAAACTTATTACACAGTATGATAGTCTGAAGGCTAGAGTAACGTTCCAGGACAGTTGGACTGAGAAATTTCACGCAGAGATGAAGGCCTCGTCGTCTTTGATGTCAATGGACGCAAAAATATCGTTCCAAAATAATTCAAGGAAGGTTGTAAGTTGGTCGCGCCTCATCTCAAACGCTTTGACTTTTTCAACAGGACAAGACCTGCTATGCTTGTCGTCTGCTAGCTCTGGATGATTTCTACTTCACCACCAACGAAGTAAGAATACACGATCGTTGCGAGGTTGATCACCATCGGCGGAATCACCTCGATCTTGAAATGAACTTTTTTTAGCCGTGGCATGCCCATTTATTTTAGCTGTGTGGTCACAGCTCATGCAGGTAAGTGTACTGTCACGTCCAGCGCGCCCTCTTTTTCTGCATCACTGGTACGGCATCTGCGCGTGCATCGCTAGCACTACGTGTAGAGTCTACACGGCTCTTGCAGGTACAATCATGTACTGAGTGTCTCAGCCAGAGCGACAAATTTTATCGCTGTTGCATGCATTTTAGTTTGCTGACCCCTCGATGTTTCTCCAAGCGCTGCTACTTGTTCCACGAAGTCTTTCTCACCCCAGCTAAGGTATAACAGTGATGAGGCTTGAGTGAATGGCCATAAGCACGAGAAATGTGCGGGCTTCAACGCCTGACTGATCTCAACGAGTCGAAATTACCATCGCAGCGACATCAGCGAAGAAATCGCGTCTAGTTCAAAGATCTCAGCTTCAAATAACAGAAAATAGAACTTTGCCGTCACCCTATACTGATGACTATCGCCTATGTCCAATTCCTTGCCTCCGGTACGAGTGCTGGTGAGTAAATACCCCGTTTTATGTCAAAAGTCAAACTGCGACAATTTCGATGACGCGGAGGAAGTATGTATGCATTGAATCAGTTCAATGATAAGATGGGCAAGGAATGCGCCATCAGTGCGGCAAGGCAGGATATAATAATCTGGAGTTGTCAGCAGTATGTGTAGCTTTTGGTGATGTACTTGAAGCAAACAAGAAGGCTAGATGCATTTGACTAAAACACTCTTTGCCTTACAGTTTTACTGGGATCAGAGGAGAGATATTTGAAGATGCAACGAGGAATTAATCAATAGGCGGCATTGTCCAATGTTGACTGCAACCAAAATATTTGTTTGAAAGTGGTTGCGTATAATGAATGTAAAGGCGTGATGCGCATTTGTTCCCACTACGGCTATAATTATTGTCCTTTTTGCGCCGCTCATGTACGTTGGTAAGAGAGAAGAGGATATGTGCACAGCACAAAGGATGGAGGGAATGGGTGAATTAACTGCTGATGGTTAACTCTGGAGCTTAACTAAGTGTAGCAAAGTGTCTTGATACAAGAATTTAATCGTGATGAAAATTGTGGCGCTCATGTACGCTGGTAAGAGAGAAGAGGATATGTGCACAACACAAAGGATGGAGGGAATGGGTGAATTAACTGCTGATGGTTAACTCTGGAGCTTAACTAAGTGTAGCAAAGTGTCTTGATACAAGAATTTAATCGTGATGAAAATGATGTTCAGGGTAATGTGATCATTTGCATCGTCCATGCTCGTGTAGTAACTCAGTCACTAGCAGCGGTTCCCTGGCTTCACTCAACATATTGTCCAAGGCAAGATCTGCAGTCTGCTGATCGCGTATGTCGAGTCCGTGTCGTTTCCGCCAACAGGCACGCAGGGAAAGGTGGCGCAGGCGGCCAAAGCCACCGCGCTTGGCGCAACACTGCCTAGCTAGTAATGCAAACACTAACACCACAGTTGGGAGATAAGCCAGGACAATGGCAAGGGTTTGCATTGCCGAGAAATGACTTCCGATAATTCTCACGGCTGAGTTGGTCATTGACAGTAGACAAAGACTGAACAAAAATAGCGTCTCCACCAGGTTGCTATTAATGCCAAGGAAGTTTTTCTCCACGAGAGGTCTGGTATGAAAGAAAACAGTGGAAACATGTATTTCCATTAAAGCAACGAATTAAAGAGGTTTTCACAAAGCAAATGTTCAGTACATGGGGTAGTGGTCTACCAGAGCGGTAGCATGGGTGACTGGGCAGCAGGGGAGCGAATGAAAATAATGACACCCTACATTCCTAGCCGCGAGTGCTCCTCCTTTCAGCCAAAAAACTCATTTTATTTAATTAATTCCTGTCCCGCTTCCAGTCGGACCCAAGAATAAACACAAGACATTACATGTAATAACGCATAATAATGCATATTAATGTATGTCCTAATCATAAGCCACGCACATCGACATAGAATATCAAGAAGAACAGCGGAGGACCCCCATCATGAAACCAGGGTGGGTGGGTAACTTCAACTACGACGTGAAAAACAAAGACAACGACGGCAGGTTGAAGGGAGTTGCGCAGAACAGGAGCAAACGCACGAAAATATTTGTGAGTGAAAAATATGTTTTTGCACTCTTTCGCTATGCTCAGCCATGAAAAAACAAAACTTCTTTCGGAAAAAGAGAGATATAATTATAAAACCTACTGTGTAAGAATGACTCATACCTCGCTCGCGGATTCTTTCTATTCCATGGCCATTGACTGCCACCTATATTGCCTTCCACTACTTAACCATCGTTCTATTTCCCCTCAAGAATGCATGCCGCTCACACCCAACACGTCAACAGACTGATGCACATGTGACGGGTATGTGTGGAGTTCCCTGCTTTCTCCTGATGCGCCGCTTTGCTTAAAATTAAAACATTTCACAGTTCGCGTGAGACCGGTTTCTCTATATAGAGGCCGAATTTTCCGCATCCGTAGGAACGCAACCACCCTTCAAGGATCAAGGCGCAGATGCAGCTCCTAAAGCGGTGGAAGGTGAGTATATCAGCTCACCAGCATGTGGTCAAAGACCGAAAATCCCATTCACTGCATCCATGTTTTCCTCGAGCCAGGCCACGAGTTCCCAATTAACTGTGGGTCGCAGCACGGCTGGAAAAATCCTTCCGCTTCCAAGCAGGACTTGAACCTGGTACCCTCTGTTTCTCCATCATGGTCTTAAACCATCCCACTATGCCTGCCTGCACCGCTTTGCTTATTATTCAATAATTCATTAATGGTTTGTCCTTCCGGTATGAAAACATTAACGATGAATACAACAAAGCGGATTGGTAGGTGGATTGTTTAAAAAAATACAAATTAACCCTTTGAAGCCCAGCTGGGTTTTCTGATTTCCCAGGCACTCGCACCGCGCTGCACGCAACCACGGATGGTCGACTTCAAAATTTCATAATTCACTCACCAGCAATGGAATTTCATGATGTGGAGCTCCCTGAAAAGCTTGTGATCTCCTCCATCCAAAGATAAAGACTAGACACTAAGCAGAAGCAATAGAAGCGCCTCCAAGTCCCTTGAGTGCAGCTCTATCGCGCCTGAACGAGATACACCACCCACAGTGACAATTTCCTTCGGTTCATGACTTTTACTCAACACAAAACAACGATTCAAAGTTCTCCGTGCTGCTGAAGCTCAAGCGGTCATCTTGGTACCCATCGCGCATGGGCTGCACTGGTATGAGTCATGGGGAAACCCCATGCGCACGCGAGCTCTACTCAAAAATTTAAAAATTCTAAAGTTTAGAAGTATTCAATCGCGTTCCGGTCTTTGCCGCTCGGGTATTTCGCATCGCGCTGCCACAAGTGACACACCGCTGGAAAGGTCTTTTCCTTACCTTTCCAACAAGCTATCGTTTGTGAAAATCAAAGAAAGGACAACGGAGATACGAAGCTTTGTACAGTGATCTATGCGCAATGCGTACACAGTGCGCGTTTTGGACGAGTATACTCGTCCTTGGGAAATCGCTAGGGACGAGTATACTCGTCCTTGGGCTTCAAAGGGTTAACATCACCTGCGAATGTAGACTCACCTCCAGATCGCATGTGCGTAAAGATAGACAAATAGAAACAGCGTTGTAATGACAGACTTCATCTCCAGATGGTGTATCTGTGAAACGATTACTGCTATTGCGCATCGCCGAAGTAGGTTTATTGAAGCCCACCATCGCCTGTTATCTCCATACATCGCACATGCCTGGTCAATAAAGCCCTTGAAGAAAATCCGTCGTTTTGCTTGCGGCAGGAGGAGAATCGCCGGTGGTGGAAGAAGTATGAAAGCTGAGATGAGGCCAGCACACACCGCATAGGGTATGTGTGCTCCTTTGAAGCATTCAATAGATCCATCAATAGCCAGAACAAACTTGTTGCTGAGTTCGGTACATTGTAGCAAATTGATAGAGGTGAACGTCAGCATGGTATAACTGTAGACAAGACCGAACCAAAGCACGCGCACCAGTCGCATGTGCTTCTGCTGTCGCTGCAGGAATGTACCAGTGCACGAGTAGGATGCTGCAATACGTACCAGGAACACCAGAGCTAGAAGTGTGATTGGCTGCAGCAGTAGCATGGCCTGGATCTGCATACGATTTAACTCGGGTTTGATACATAGGTGGCCGAGACCAAAGGTTAAAAGCGTTGACATCATCCCATTTGGAAAGTTGAAGAACGGGACAACGATAGGGGCTACCTGTAAATAATCCACAAAAAGAACAACACGTGATCGTACTGGTCAACATCGAGATATGAAATGCAATTAATGCTCACTTTGGCAACGGAAGAGGAACGTGACAAAGCCGTTTCCAAGGCATATTATTGTGATGAAAAATGTAGGCTACTGCTAACAATCCAGATCTACTATACACGTGTTGGTCAGTTTTCCAATCGACTCTGTAGCCAAATTCCTTTTACATATGCTAACGGAATTACTAATTCATGTCACCCTTTTCTTTTCTCCACCAAGTTATCATCACCGGTTTTTCCCCCGAACGTTCATTGTTAGTAGGCGATTGCCATATCGTTAAAAAGTTACTAGTATACAACAACAGCAAAATGCTAGACTGGTAGACAGCACAATTCACCTACCTGGAAGAAGAAGAGCCAAGAATCTACGAGGGGAGACATGCCCACGTTGAAGTAAAACATGAGCAGGAACATGAGGATCGTAAGCACCATTACCAGTGCCATATATGCATACACATGTATTGATGGTGATGCGCATGTTCTGCAGGCCTGTGGATGTAAGAAAAGAGACATTCAGCAAGTCATGAACGTTGAATAGATCATTAAACTCTCAATCCTGTTAGCATAATGAATTCATGATCGAATAGAGTACACAAAACGATTTGGTTCCCTCTTTTTGGGAGGCTTGTTTGATTGTAGCCCAGAAACCTGTGGTTCGCCGGAAAGTCAGTGGAACTATGCATTCGGCAAATAGTGGAAGCAAATGAAATCCCATACAGGGATAGAAAATGATAGCTCTGTGGATTCACAATTGTGACTGTGGGGAATGAATCTTGCGAAACCTTTGCCCAATTAGGCAATTTATGCATGGTTTCGTGTTCAAAGAATTATGCATTTCAGCAAATTAGTGCCCAAACATTTTGTGAAATATGAACCAGATTAGACATTAGCTTCTACTTCGGACAGCAAGGACGGAGAAAGCTTTTTCCCGTGACAAAACAATGCCCCCAGCTTCTTACCAGAGTATCAATGATCATAGATTTCCCTTTCTTGCATTGGCCACACAAAGGACCTGTATGTCCCGATCTGCAACCTGACTCGCCGGGCCCCAGCCACCACCGGAAGGAGTGGCAAAATTTATGTGAGCATTGAGTTATACCGAAAGATGTCTCAGCTTCAATCCTCCGAAGCGTTGCAATAAGTATCGCTCCATTCATAGGGATCTGTTGTATTTCGGATCCATCCGATCCCAGTATGTCGCGCATGACCTTGCTCGTGCGGTCCCTCTTATCCCGAACATTTCCTGCCCAATAACCAGCGGCCACTTTAATTGTCTTTCCAAGCCTCTCGCTAAGTATCCCATTGTGTTGCAACCTCTTGCAGGTTAGGAGCGGCTACATGGGCAGCAAGCACACACAGCAGTTATGTCGATAAACACAGTGGGTTCATTTTCAGTCTTTCAGAATGATACAGTTCTACATACACACAAACTTGCACAGTCCAAAACACAGATGGAAACTTATGCAGTGAAGCGAACGTTCCCCAATGAGTCCATTTTGTAAAGGTGTTCGTAGTCATGGTAATAACCCCCCCCCCCATACACACAACATAAAGGTACTGAAGTACTGAAAAACGAAAGCAGAAAAACAGATCATCCTTCTCTATTAGTTGATAGTCGCAAAACTGTTGAGGCAACGAACTGACCAAACTCACATACCTGGTTATACATGCAAAAACAGGTACATAATCATCTCTCTCTCTCTCCCCCCCTCTCTCTCTCTCTCTCCCTCCCTCCCTCCCTCCCTCCCTCTCTTTCTCTCTCTGCTATTGGCGCGCCTGGTTGTGATGAAGCCGAGACCCAAGGTCGGCAGAGCATTTCAGACCACTCCACCACTCCCCTTATTCATGGCTCACATATGACGGGTTTATGTGGCTCTAGTAAAAAAAATAAAAAAATAAAAAATACAAGAGGAACGTATACCACACGAGGCCCAGGTTTACTGGAAGTTGGTACACAAGTTATGGATCTATTGCAATAGGCATCTTCAATACGAACTAAAGTGATGAATGAAAACAGGTACCTTTCCGTCATCATGTTCGGTGACAAGCTCATAACCCATATGACATGGCTGGAGTATGAATGGCACTTTCAGAACCACTGGCGAGCGCCACTCCTGTAGGCCAGACTCAGGTACAGCAATGGCCAAAAATCCACTCATGTAGGGTTCTCCGGCCAGCGAAAATCCAGACATTGGCTTGCCACTGAGAAACGGTATGGTGGTGACCACCTTTGGCTTCGCCTTGGAGATTCCAGCACGGACCTGTACAAGTAGTACGGTGCCATTGCTGTTTGCGGCGTGGTCGGAGTGCACCTGCAGTGAAGGCAAAGGTTGGAATTCACATGCACACTATTATTATGCTGTACATGATTCTAACATCGATTTCATGCGTGTGTGCTCCTCATTGGCTTCGCTCGTTCCTCTTTACTTTTGTACATTTGGCTTATGCGAAGGCTAGCCAAACTTGCTTGGTGTTGTCAACGCCAACAAGGATAATAAAGATTATAACTTGATTCTAACCACATTGGAGCCCATGGGTATATACGAAATAAAAAAATACTCCAAGTAATAGTACTATAATTATAGTACCACTTCAGTATAATATTAAGGAACTGCGAATGAACCACCACCAATCCAACAGCCTCTCACCTGAGTAATCTTCACCATGGCTGTTCAAGTGGGCGAAAAAACGGCCAGTCAAGGCCAGCTGATTTTCCGTTGAGATTTGAATTTTTGGTGAAGATGACGACGCTCGTGGGAGTCAGCTGTGCGGGAAATGTCAGATAGCCGGCCAAATTCCAAGAGATTACCGTACCAAATCAAACCGGGAATCGGTAAAATCGATCAGGTTCGCCAGGTAAGGTTATGTCCTTGCCGCAATTAAGAGCTAGATCTGTCCTTTGCTTTTTTGCGCGTCTCTCTCGTCTTTTTGATCAGCCCTGGATATTTCGTGACAGCAGCTTTCACTTTGGCTATAGAGCACTTTGACGTGACTCAGCCTTGTTTCTGGATTTTTGCCACGGTATCAAGAAGTTTTCTCGTGAAGGTAAGGCTTTTGTGCTGCTCGTTGGAGAGAATCAGCTTGATAACATGAGCAGTTTTTGCTTCCAACCGTCCGCGAGTTGTGTATTTTTGTTATGCATCAGCTGATCAGGATGGAGGAGCACATGAAGAACCTTGCCCAGCTGTGCCGTTTGTGTGCAGGAAAGCTCCATCGCAGGCATTCTGGTAGAGTAGCGTCAGTGTACCTTGTGAAGGACTATGCTGTGGACATAGCTCGTTGCTACAGCGCAGACATATGTTTGGATGACTCTGAAATTCATCCGATACATTTCTGTGCATCGTGTAGAACTGCACTTACGAAGTTCAGTGCGAGTGGTGTTTCTACTGTGGCAACGGTCTCATCATCGACGTCCAGTGAACCCAGTGGCAGTGCAGTTGCCGCCTCCAGTGAGTACAGTGCAGTAGCTGCATCCAGTGCAACATCGAGGCCAAGGGTTGCCCACCAATGGCTAAAGCACCCTGAAATTGGCCCTTGTACCTCATGTGAGATGGGAGGGAAGTTAGTGCAGGGTGGTCGTCCAGCAAAGAAGAGGAAGTTTTTGAGCATGCAGGCCTCATCCAGCACGTCCAAGGAGCCTGTTGCACTGGATGTCGGAATTGACATGGAAGAAGACGAATTCTACCAAATAGAACCTCCGTCCTTTAAGACCCAGGGACGGCTAGAGCCGAGTAGGTTCATTTCTCCCGTGCCGAGCCTAGCGTGTGGTGTGTGTGCAGATATTGTTGATAGGCCTGTGCAGCCACCGTGTTGTCTATTGTTGTTGTGTGCATCTTGTGTGTACGCTCACCACCAAGAGCATGACATATGCACACACTGCAGCTAACAACTTCGGCTTTCACAGTACAAAGCACCACACCCACTGCTAATCCAGGTACTGAGAGAGCAACTATTACATTGTGATTTTGTGGGCCAGAGCGCTCTTTCCGGCTGCACCGCAATCGTTCCTCTGGAGAAGCTGAAAAGCCACTGCAGTACTTTCTCTCTCAGCACTGGTGCCGCACACAGCACAATATCACCGTCAACTGCAGAGGTACCTACGGGAGTTTGGTGTACCTCTCGAGTCCGAACATGCCATGCGTCGGAAGCTTCATGATGAACTCCCCTTTGAACTGATCGCCCGTGACAAGACGATTAAGCTGTCACTGTTTGGAGACTACGAGTTTCTAATGAAAGCGTATGGGCTTTCCGGTGCAGCAGGAAGATACCCGTCCTTGTTCTGTCAAGCCACCAAGGCCGACCTCCAGCACCGCCAGACTGCAAGCACTCAACCAACACGCACACTGCATACTCTCAACACCAACCTAGAAGCGTTTCAGGCAGACGGGAGCAGATTATCAAGAGCAAAGGAACACAAGAACGTTATTAGACCAGCATTGTTCGAAATAGAATTAGAAAATATTTGCATTCCTGTGCTGCATCTGGACCTCGGGATATTTCCATGGTTGTACGAGGCCATGCTGAAGGATGCAGAGAAGCTGGATATGGCGCTTGCTAAGTTAAGCGTTGATGTTCAGCAACCGTCAGAGTCTTTCGTACGTGTTTCCCTGGAAAATCGTCGTCTGCGAGAAGCCCAGACTGAGCTCGTAGAGCAACAGCAGGACATAAGCAATGTACAACATCACGCCTAAGTTACACATGCTTGAGTGTCACACAATTCCCTGCATACGAAGATTCGGCGTCTCCCTTGGCCTCCTCGGTAAGCAAGGTGGAGAAAGTATTCACAGGAAATTCAAACAGCTACGCTCGTCCCTGGAGAACATGAACCGTGATGTCGATCGACTCCGCGTTCTGGTCACGCAGTATCTGACCACGACATTGCCTCACTATAATCGTATGATTCTCCAGCCGAAGAGAAGAACACTTGAGAAGTAGAAAGGGAAGCGTAAATATACCTAAAATTTCAATAACTGAATCGTTGTACTGATCCTTTGAATCGTTGTTGTTCGTAATCTAGGTTATCCTCCGGAGCCTAGGCCGGCGGACCCGCTAGGGTTGGTTGTCCGCACCTGCCCATAGGTATAAATGTAGCCAGAAGGTGTCTAGACAGAATACATAAAGGAAAACATTCTGAAGAATTGGAATTTCTCTCGATCAAATAATCTACTAAAAATCAGTCACACGGCTACAAAAGCTCAACAAGTACAAAAATGACTGAAAAGGTTCATCGAAGCGTCGCGTGCTCTCTAGTTTCCATAGAGATTTGTGACGTAGAAAGTTTTTCGCGGATCCTGATTTTTGGCCGCCATTGTGATAAATGGCCACGCTAGAACAGCCGTGTCACATGACCACCAAACTGAGCCATGGAATGGCCATCATATCCAGATCATTACCAAGTCACACCGCGAAGAGAGCCATAATTTGAAAGTACCATAGGGGGAACCATTTACGTCGTCTATGTTTCTGACACATGCCCTGCAAGAACGTGGACTATCTCCACTACCATCCAGGACATGTCTGGTAAATGGTTCTCCACGTTTTTTGTAAATTTACAAGTTTCAATTTTCAATTTACGACATTGCAACGAGGCCCATTGCCTGCGACGGACAATGCCTGATCTAGCACCAACACCCGGCACACCGTCAGACTCCAGTTCACCCAATACTGCAACATGCTCGCTCCCACCACCAAGCATTTCCTTCCCTGCACAACTCGAAGTTCACTAGCAGCAAATCCCCGCTTAAATGGAAAAAAGAAACAAATCTCGATTTGTGTGGTCAAAGGTGATGAACCCGGCCCTGCGCCAACCGTAGCGTGAAATAGCAAAGCGGAGGATATGAACAAAATTGATTGACTACCGAGATCAAGATTATTGTAACCCAGTTCAAAGGTTTCCATAAATTGTGCAACGAATCCTTCAGGATGGTTCTATTTCTTGCCACCAAATGAGACCTACCTGATCAATAGAAGGGAAAAAGAGAGATTTTCCAGGCCAACATTTCTGGTTTTCTCGGGGATGCTTTTTGAACACGTTATAGAACCTTAGATCATTACGAGAAATATATTTGGTGAATCCAAAAATAGTGTAGTACTGTTGTCGGAAACTTGATCAAAGAACTCGATGTTGTTTTTCTTTCACTACGTAGCAGCACCACCTTCCTAGTATAATGCATTGTCGCAAATTCTCAGAAACGATTCCCACAATGTCATGTTTTCACTTTGAAAATCCTTCAAATAACAACACTCACTTGTAATGTCACTGCTGTTGACGAGAGCGATAGACCATCATCCACTGTGGCAATATTTAGGATCATTGCTTCCCCTGGTGATACTAATAAAGTCACGCTGCCCGTAAGTCCCGTTCGTTGCTCTGGGCTGACATGGGCACGTTCATCCAATGAACTGCTCCAGTCGGCTCCCTGAAGGAAAGCCCATGGTGTGTACGTAAACTGTGGACCTGGCACAATATTGCTAATAGTGCCTCGATCCTTGGCGATGAGTGAGCCCATGTCGTGCAATGCTTTATCTTGAGGGTGGCGCCACCTCAAGTCAAAAGTAGATGCAAACAAAACAAAACAAACAGGACAGAATTAAGCTGATTCCCGTTTTTCAGGCATACCTCTGGGCGCTGCGTCACAAGATAAAAACACAACGAGGTAAGTACAGAGACGCACAATTAAGAGAGCATGTCTGAGAATACCAAAGTATGTGTGCAAGTGGATCTCTCCGATTCCGCTCAAAATTTACAGGTTTGTTCATTTTTGGGGTGTAGATCGATTGTGCAAAGCCCTTGAAAGGGTTTCTGAAGGGAACCTTGAAACTTGCATACTCCTCAAAAATGGCCAAAATATCACATTATTTATGGGTCTAGAAACGAGTAACGCATATGAACAAGCCACGAACAAAATTCCATCAAGCCAACATTGCCTCACCTTAGTAGAGTTCCTGGAGTAGTACCGCTTAGCCACTCCAGGATCCCAGAAGACGAGAGCCATCACCCCCTGACGCAACCACAGATCGTCTTGAAAATAGCCAATTTACAAGCGCTGGCAAAACAGCGAGCTACGTCCTCAATTTGGCAAGAACTATACACCGGCAGGTAGTAGAACACCTCTTCTAGCGCTGAGGACATGTCCCCATCTTTCTTTTGGTTTTTCTTGAAATAAACGTTTTTGAATTTTTCCACTCGACCATGCTGAAATACGGCCAAAGTAATATTTGCGCAGGAAAGCTCGCCCTTCCGCGACGTCTCGTCTGCAATTTCTACTCCAACACTACTCCCAAGACCGCCGAAAAAAGTTTATTGTTGGCTCTGACAAGGAAAAGCAACGGTGATCACTTGTCACTCCAAACGACAAGCTTCTCCTTGCGCTACCAATAATTATTTGGGCGACTGTTGATGCAAAAGTGACTGAAGTCCTGAGCGCACTTTTTGAATTTTACTACATGAGGCAAGCGGTGAAATCACGTGGCTTGTGACGCAAGAATACCCAGTCGCCTGGATCACGGCTCACGAAATTTCAGAGTCACCTTCGTCATGATTATTTTGAGTGGTACTGCTCCAGGAACTCTTCTAAGGTGAGGCAATTTTGGCTTGATGAAATTATATATCGTAGCTTGTTCACATACGCTGTGTTGTGACTCGTTTCTACACCCATAAAATGTGATATTTCGGCCATTTTTGAGGAGTATGCAAGTTTCAAGGTTCCCTCCAGAAACTTTTGCAAGTGCTTTGCACAAGGAACCTACCTGCAAATTTTGAACAAAATCGGAAAGATCCACTTACACACATACTTTGGTATTCTCAGACATTCTCCCTTAAACAAGCCTTTGAAAAGCGTGCGTGACTTTCAAAACAAGTCAAAAGCTAGAATCTTTGATGAAAACAGCAGTATCTGACCAAGACAGTTACAGGTTATAATAAACAACAGTACCAACCAGATGCGGTACTTGGTGCATCGTTATAGTGATACGTGGGCTAACACAACCAGTTCTTACTACTTGCATAAAATGATATCCAAGCAGCAAGATGATGTGGTCTCCTTACTGGAGTGAGCGGCCAACAATTGCCCAGTCTTCTCTCCCACACGTTTGCACCATCACATACAGAGTGTTATTCCAGATTTTGAAGCAGCCAACGTTTGCCGCATTGAAAAAGATCCATCTGGTTTTCGTTGTCAACGCTTGGGTTAGGAAACCCAGAATATTGACAATAAATAACCCTGACGTGGGACAGTAGTCATAGATGGTAGACGAACGAAGGCAGGTCCCTCTATTGGTGAAATTTGCGTCCAGGTCTGCATGATTATTTGTGTAGAATGGGCAGTAGCATCCAGTACTGTACATTGGCGCATCAATAGAATTGCTTAGTGTCCATGTGGGATCACATTGCCTGAGTTCAGTGAAGCCGTCCGACGTTGGTGTTGCCGAAGTTCTAGGTGATGATAAGACTCTCCATTGTCGCATATTTTTCCTGAACAGGGCAACTCTGTTATTCGTCTGTGGGAGTTTCATGGATATCATGTATAGAAATATATATATGTTTTAGAGGAGAAGTCACATAGTTTAGGTGCTCATTTCAACGGCAGGTGCACACACATCATCGTCATGAAGAAAGCGTCAATGATGGCGTGTGCGAACATTAAAATGTGCGAATCATTTCACGTATTGACTTATTTATATTCCTCTCCCCTCGTCTATTACCAATACGAGGAAAACTGAATATATGTAGAAAGGAAAAGGACATAAGGATACGAGTTAAGAGTAACTCTCCATCACTGAAACTGGATACTATGATTATACAGTCAGAAAGTGCAATAACTAGGCACAAAGCTGACAAGAGTATTGAGACATTCGACGTCCTGACACCTAGCTTCAACACATGTCCGTAGCGCTAACCGACAGCCTTCCAACTTGGAAGGTTCAAGGTTATGGAAAGACCAAAGAGGTACTTTTATTTATGGTTCAACATCCGAGTTTCAAATTGCACACCTGATGAGCCGTCACGAACCATACAGCGAAACGTACGTCGTGTGAAACAACTTGTTTTGTAGTCAACTTCATCACAATGTAATGCATGAGGAGTACTGTAGGAGTTTGGCTTTCGGCTTGTACAATTCGTTTTCCCTTTTCCCCTTTTCTTTACTTATCTTTTATATTTATGGCCCACCAAAGTTGGGTGGTGTGCTGCTTTGCTGCTTCAAATTGTTGTTAGACCGCTTTGTCAAATATCGTACTGGCCTCGTCATCGTCCAGTAACAATCGACATTCTTTGTTCCGCTGGGACTGTAGCTTTTGCTCGTTTTCGTTGCGCTGGCCTTCCCCTCTTTGGTCTTTTCCATAACCTTGAACCTTTCAAGTTTGAAGGCTGTCGGTTAGCGCTACGGACATGTGTTGAAGCTAGGTGTCAGGACGTCGAATGTCTCAGTACTCTTGTCAGTTTTGTGCCTAGTTATTGCACTTTCTGACTGTATATAGTGTCCAGTTACAATGATGGAGAGTTACTCTTAACTCGTATCCTTATGTCCTTTTCCTTTCTACATTTATTTATGGCTCAACATCCGAGTTTCAAAACTAAATATAATAATAATAATGTATGGCCCCTCAGAGGTGAAACATACACCGCGCAATGAAGGAATTATAAGATGCTGTTGATCACAGCCTTCCTGTCAGACATTTCCAGAAGTAATATCAAAAAGTATTCTTTCTAGACCAAAGAGTGGTATATTTGATAACATTTAATAACGATAGAAATTTTTACGATACTTCTCCAGACGTTTCGTTGTTCTGAACAACATCGTCAGTGGATAAAGAATTCTTTATCCACTGACGATGTTGTTCAGAACAACGAAACGTCTGGAGAAGTATCGTAAAAATTTCTATCGTTATTAAATGTTATCAAATATACCACTCTTTGGTCTAGAAAGAATACTTTTTGATATTACAATGAGAGTGAATAATCAACGGCTTGTCCACCAACTTTTATTTCCAGAAGTAGTTAGACTGATGTTGATGGATGTCAGCAGCGTAGGCCGGTCTACAGTGTCTTCAGATCTAAGGATGCCAGCAGGGTACGGTGTCATCAGATCTAAATTATCATCCTCGCCGCAGGTATCGGTAATCAGTATTAAGACTTATCCGTTCAGAGTATGCCACCATTATTATTATAGTGTAGTGCAAAAAGACAATGTAGAAAGGAAAAGGATTCCGGGATATGAATACGAGTGAACTATTCACGACTGTAACTATAATAGATACTATAAACAGTCATAAAGTGCAACAGCTATGCACGAACTCTACAGAGTAAATTGGAAGACGGTAATCCTATCTGAAAAACAGCTTCGTAGTGCAAACCAACAGCCTTCAAACTCGGAAGGGCCTAGGTTATGGAGAGACGAATATGGGGGAGCTAAGGGCAACGGTATTCAGCACAAGCTGAAGCCCCACGGGAACAAAGAATGTGGACTGCTGCTGGACGATGACGAGATCTGGAAGATACTAGACAAAGCGGTCTGAGTTTGGAAGGCCGTTGGTTAGCGCCTAAGAAGATGTGTTTGATCTAGATTTCAGGTTATAGTATGTCTCAGTACTCTGTCAATTTTGTGCCTAGTTGTTGCAACTTCTAACTATTTATAGGAACTAGTTACAGTGGTGGACGGTAGCCAAATGTCTCTTTGCTTTCTACATTCCATTTTTGGATAAACAATTACATCCCAATTTCGAATCTTCAAAACAATTTTAAAATTTATTCTTGATTCGAATTTGCAATTGGGCGAGGTGCGCATTGGACGTGTGCTCTTTACAGGAAACAGAACTTACAGACGGACTAGACGAATCCATCCTTGGACACCGTCTCATCTGTTTTCCAACGAAAAACTTTCACTATGGCCTCGGATTCGCTGTCTCGAATCGCCTTGAAATTCATCCGTACTGGGCAGTATCGGACCGTGTCGCGGTCCTTACGCTCTCCAGTAGCCCCTCAGCTCTAATGGCTGTACACCAGGGACAGAATGTCGCCTCGGGAAGGCCATTCCTGGCTATTGTCAACGCATACGCAGCGACATCGACGAGATTAGCGTGAAATGTCGCTTAGCTGGATAGATTCACCGACGACTTGGCTACGGCGTACTCAGAGGTCAGCAGCACTGGATAATTGTAACTTCTCATTCTCACACTTTGCCCGTAATCTTGCACCCATGTTTTGTAGTATAAATCTGACTATCTCCACCTGATATCATCCTATTCAATATCACCTTCTCTGATGAGCCTTATGAAGGCGAAACAGCTGTCAGGAGGAATTTCAGTATCTACCTGCAACCCTTCCTTGTATGGCTGTTGTTGTGTGTAATGGCTACCGAGGGTTGCGGTGAGTCGTCGGTGAGAGGGCATGGAGGAGAGGAGAGGAATAGTTCTTTACATTTTATTGGCCGACTAGTACCGTTCAGCATTTGAAATAATAATAATAATAATAATAATAATAATTTGATACTCGGATGTTGAGCCATAAATATTATGTAGAAAGGAAAGGACATATGGATACGAGTTAAGAGTAACTCTCCATCACTGTAACTGGATGCTACCGGTATTATACAGTCAGAAAGTGCAATAACTAAAATGTCTCAGTACTCCGTCAGTTTTGTGCCTAGTTATTTCACTTTCTGACTGTATTTTAAGTATCCAGTTACAGTGATGGAGAGTTACTCTTACCTCGTATCCATATGTCCTTTTCCTTTCTACAATAACAATAATAATAATTTGCAACAAGTTGGAAAGGATATGACAAGACACCATAATTACGAAATCTCAACGATTGCAAGAAATTGGATTATTATAGGGATTGCTTACCTTCCAGGGCCATCGACCATTAATTTGTAGCAGATCCATCGGCGTACAATACGTGTCAGACACAATTGAAGTAAACATCATGTCCTTTCTGCCAGGCGCAGCACGAAAGACATCTCGCCGCCCCCAGTCGTTGAACTGCAAAAGAAAAAGTAACCAGCAGAATGTGGGAAGCAGCCAACTTGGACGGCTGACACATAGTATTGGGAGAGTGCACTTGCATCACTGAACTTGTGTCAGCTTGTTCTCCATTTCGCTGTCTTCCCTGGCTTTCTCTTTTTATTATTCTTGTTTTACTATTATTCCCAGACGCAATTCATTTCAAAAACAATTATGAGTACAGAAACTTTCTCTTCCCTCACTTCGTCTCTCTCTCTATCACACTCCTTTGATAATGAATTATTCTACGTTTCTTACAACATCAGAATAAATTGGAAGCGTCTCCAATTCTTCATGATCGTACATGCATTTACTTGTACGCAATCCAGACCAGTCCAAAAGAACAATAAGACATTTTACAACCGAATTGCTAAGTTTTTCGTTCCAGTTCTACTTTTGGGCACTAATTTATTCCCTGTAAGAGACCATGAAGGGAACGAAAACTTTCGGTTCTAAAATGTGTTAGTCTATTTTTGGAATGGTGAGGATTGCGGAGATGCACAAAGTTAACTACATTGAAGAATTTTCAGAGATCGTATTTTTTCATATCAAACATAACAGACTCTGAGAGCGAACATTGACGAATGGAAGATGAGATAACACCCTTCACCAGGAAAGCCTTCATGAATAGGTACGAAATTACCGTTTCATAGATGACCAGATGATTTTTTCTCCCCGGAGTTGGTTTGTCACCCTCACTTCCTTATACTGGCCATGTTATGTGCCAATAAGTGATGTAATATTATAATATTATTCACTGGTTTGATGGAAAGACGCAAACGAGAAACGTCTGAAGAAAACTTGACTGTGACCACCAGGACTCGAACCAGGGACCCTCGCCTGTAGCCAGCGATGCTCTAACCACTGAGCTAGTCGTCATACCAGCAGAGACCATTCACCATTTTATTCAGACTTCGTAACTCTATAATAATAATAACAATAATCCCCAAATGGGACATGTTGCAGATGCTAACTAATTCTACTTCTACGTACAACATATGGGTAATAGAAAGGGAATTAATAGTGGTTCCACATAAATCCTTACTCGGTGTATGACAATCTTTCTTCTACTCGGATATCTTGGAAACGTTACTGCCGTTGGTCCAATAACAGGACCATTCACGAAAACGATACCTTGGTCAGCAATAAACGGGGAATAAGGCTTAGTGGAAGCACCCTTTCTTTCAGATTCAAATTCCCTGCAGAATAATATGGAGGCAAGAACAAACTATGCTTACATCACTAACATGACTCTGTTTCAATTCGCGGCATTAGATTCCTTGACGGTAAAGTGTAATTCATCTCAGCAGTTCAGAATGACATTTTGCGTTGATTTCAGTCGTCCAGTATACTTTCGGAAACGCGACTTCCCGAAACAAATTCCAGTAACAAGAAAGTAGACTTCTGGTATGTTTTCTCTTTTATATCACGCTACAATCCATCTCTATTCTCGGTAGATTTCTATTGACACCAAGGCCCAATAAGAAAACCTTACTACTTTCAAAAAGTCTTCAATGCACCAGATTTTAGGGCAGAGTACACGATAAAATACAAGTAGAAGTGGTAGTAGAAGTTTTCACTATTTTACTAGGGAAATCCCCACAGACTGTGAGTCATTTTACAGGGTTCCCAAGGTAAGTGCGTGAAAAGAGCGGAATTGAGAAAACCGTTATTAGTGCGAGAAAAGATAATAAAGAAAAACAAGAGGGGACTGCTTTTGCGGACATTTCAGGTAGCACCCATCCGCGATCGTAACGTGAGAGCGAATGTCGTGTACCAGCTCCTATTGGTATTTTATCTGTATTCTTGTCTCTTTAGAAAGAGATTATTTTTATGAGATCGCCAGTCAGCGACATTTCCACCAATGCACAAACTGACATCAACAGTTCTACAGGCCATGCATGCGGCGCAGGCTATGAAATCAAACACCCAATAGAAACGCAGAACTGAGCACTGTATCCGAAATCCAACACTCACCTGTTGCAGTTGTGTGCAGCAATCATGAGTCTCTCACCTCCAAAAAATGTAGGCACCACCCCCCCCCCACCCTATCGAAGGGAATTTGCGGTTTTATAATCACAACCCTTCAATGTTACCATCATATCATTATCTTCAACAACAACCGCGACAGCCACAACAAAAAGTAAAGACAGAGATTCTAAAGGTTAGCAACACCAAACATTGCCTACCGTAAAATCGTGTGTCCATTGAGAGTGATATTCACACGTCTGGCTCGCACCATAGCCTGACCAGTTCCAGCATAAAACGTGTTGTTCGTCAGATTCACGGAATACAGCAGTTTGCAGGTACCCTTGCATTCCAGTGTCACCCTGATCCATGCAGCCGCGCACTCCGCGTACAGGCCGGCTACTAGACCCGAGGCAGCTGCTAAGCAATCCACCGTTTCATTGAACCGGTGTTTCTCATATGAGCCTGGGCCTTTGTAGTACTGAAAAGGAATGTCTGTGGAGGCACTGAAATTAGAACTAGTCACGTCAACACTGGTCGGTGGGTGCTTGGGATAGTGTATTGAGTCCTGCGCTTCGTATTTGTTTCCTATTGTAATCGATATTCCGTCGGTTGGCTTTCGGCAGTGTAAACTGAACGTGGAAAACTGGTTATTGCGAAAAGCTACGTGAACACCGAAATGCGGAAGTTTCAGTGCGACCTGGGTGCACGGTTCCGAAGCGGAGCAATGCAGGTGATCGCTGCGAAACTGGCTGTTACGGATGGTGATGAAGTTGTTGGGTTTCCAGAATGTTACTGAGAGGTGGGCGCAGTTATCCTGTGTGCATTGAACACCGCTAGTCACCACGACCTCCTCGATTTCAACATGCACACCCGTTCCATTGAACTCCAGAGATATGATATCGGTGGTTGGATGCACTGCATGAAACGCAACTCGCATCATGGAAAAAGTGGAAATACCAGCGGACCTACGCCAATCAGCGATTTGAAATCGGAAAACAGACGTGCCCGAAAGGTAAGGCTCGAAATTATCGAATCTACAGTCTTCCAGGTAAACAGCAAAGGGATGAAGAGTGGGGTTGACATGTACAACGCTGAGGGGCAAAAAATTGTCCACACTGGGTAAATGGTGGCAGTCTGGATCAATCTTCGTACTGGCGATGAATTGCGTGGCAACTATCCGAACGTTTCCTCCGTTATCATACAGATCTCTGACCGAAGGGGCGGAAATTTGAATGGAAGAAATGGCTAGATTATTACACGACAGGCTGAACGTGCAGCGTAGAATAGACAAAAGGGACGCAGATCGTATTACATAATCTGGACGCTTGCCTTTATTCGCCGCTATGAAGTGGATGCCTTCCAAGTGACTCGGGGAACGGAGTAGAAAGACACCGGGCTTGTTAAATAAGACGGTATTAAGTACGGCATGGCTACATCCATAAATGGACGATGATCGAACAGTTAGGTGTTCAAGGCCATCCTTTGTTCCAGGCATTTTGATATTTTGCGCATTCTTCCGTATCAGGACCTCGCATCCAGTTTCTGGAAATCCCACCAGCACCATACAAGTCCGATGCACATCAGCCAACCCACTCTCCTTTAGCTCCCACCATGCTTCAAAAGCGAGTTGCACGCTCATACAGGAATCAGCTGGACTATCGCCGCACACAGGGTTATCATGCACGGTGCTCGGAGTTTCATGCATTGTACTTTGGGGATACGTAGAACTCGCCTGGAACGTGCTCGCTGGTTTCGTCGCCACATGAATGGTGACAGAACATCCATCCCGGCTGGTGTTCCAGGAGCCCTTCCTTGGTCCGCCAATGCCACCAGGTTGTTCAGTAGCCGTGCTAACCTGCACTCCGCCTGGTGTGGTCTGGCCGGTGGATAGTTCAAATACCATCCCACTCAGCACGTAAATCAGGAGCAGAGGTGAAACGAACCTGCAAAATTAATCACATAAAGACCAAACCAAAACACCGCAGTGCAAGTAGGAAAAGGGCAACACATGAATCAACATTGACTAGAATATGAATCATATGATATGATCGAAACTGTGCTGGATGAAGATGGGATAATATGATTCAGATTAACGAGCATGACAAATTCCATGCTATCACTATAAGTTCGGCTGATGGGCAAACGAAACTGGGAATAAAACATCCTTATTCTGAGTAAAAGACACGCAAATTGGTCACCTCGGGCAAAATGCTCACAACACTTACCCCATCGTTTTTTCTTTCGTCCCGTGATAGTTGTGCTTGCACAGTTGTAGAGGCTCAAATATTCAGAGAACAGGACAAGAATCGAACGTAAATGATTGGAAACGTCGCCTCGAAGGCTTGAAATTTAGACGTCCAAAGAGTTTCGTGATCCACTTCGGAACAGGGCGAATTTACCGGTAGGCCTGGCCTGTGCGGGAGAGTAGAGCCCAATTCAGATCGGCCACATCAGGACAGCGTTCAAATCTGCCCAGCGGCCCAAGCTGAAGCGGGGCGTGTAAACATACGTCGCCGTGTTCCAGTTTCAATCACGCCAAAGAGACAACGCCAAGCAACTTATTACGGCTCTGAGCTCTCACACGGTAAACAATCAACTAATTTCCATTGCACCAACTGCACAAAGCTTTCCAGCGATGGGCAGTAATGCAACGCACATCGTAGACCTAGGCACACGTCTGCATGCCAGCAGTCCGATTTTCGATTCCAGTGTAAGCATCATTATTTCATCGACTGCAACTGTGCCTGTATTCCCAATAACTAGGCAGGATAAGAAAGACACAGCTGGCGATTGAGACTCAACGAGGCTGAGAACAAAACGAGTGTGCGTGTGGGAGGGAGGGGCGGGCTGGAAAAAACCACGCCAAGGACCACTTTGGCAATAGTCACGCAGAAGCAGTACGACCGCTGTGGCAACCACCTGCACCTTTGGTACCGTCATTTTGTGTGATGGTCGTATTCTTGTGGGCTAGAATCTTCGCTGCGTGCGTTTTGCTGATTTGTCAGTTTGAGCACTCTCTCAAGGCGCGTTAAAAAAAACCACGTTTCGCGTGAGCCTCGGCTGCAGGGGCGAGTTTTCCGCATCCGTAAGAACGCCACCACCCTCTAGGATTAAGGTGCAGATGCAGCTACTAAGCGGTAGGTGAGTTCTACAGACCCACCACAAAGTAATCAAGGACCTAAAATCGCATTTACTGCTTCCATGTTTCCCTCGTGCCAGGCCACGAGTAATTCTTCCGCTTCAAAGCAGGACTTGAATCTGGTAACCTTTGTTCCTCAATCTGTTTCTCAATCAGATATGTTCAGTCATGATCTGGTCTTGGGCATGAGGCGCTGAAGAGCCGACAAAGGATGAGGGATTCAATGCACAAACTGAGTGTCATGCAGGTTCTCACACGCAACGGGAACACTTCGTGGTAGTAAAATAGATATTTCGCAAACAACAAAAAGACAACTCTTTCTCTTCCTTTCGAAGAACCGAACTCCTTACTTGCCGAGCCTCATCGAAAACAAAAACAAACTCTGAAAAAGCCCTACACTACACTAGTATGGGATTCAGCGCAGAGCAAAAAATAATCATGAGTCATTAGACAATGCATGCAGTGTAGCCGTGAAAACTGGTGAATAAAGAATGCAGTAGGTTGGCAGCACGTGACCCGTCGTACCGCAGTACGCGACGGCGTCGCGGCTTAGAAATGAAAGGAAACACTGCGAGAAAAGACAAAACGAAAATACATGTCCCTTTGTCAAAACTTAGAAGAAACAAACAAAATGCGACCAAGAATCATTTTGAGAGTCAACGTCAATGCTCTTGTGCAGTTGTGCAAATTCTTGTCTTGCACTGTGCAACGCAAGAAACAAACAACCTACGAAATAACTCGTGAACTAACTGTAGGCTAAATCACTACATGTACGCGAAATTGCGTTCCAAAATAAACTGAATTTCTGAGACATTTCATATTTCACATCCTGAGAGAAATATTGAATAAATACTAAATACTTCATAAAAAACACATGGCCACGACGGCCTTCCCAACATACCCCCCTCCTTGATACATCCGTATCAAAGAATGAGTAAAATGAGAAAAGAGATCGAACTGACTAAAGATGGCGATAAGTCCATCTAAAACGTGCGTACGGACTGTCAGCCTTTCACAACCGGACATAGCCGTACAACTGACCTGGTTACCTGCTTGCCTCCGACCTGGAGCTTAGCGACACGCACTCTGCCGTCAGAACCAGGGTAGACCTCCAACACCCGTCCAGAGGCCACTTGCCACGGGGGTATCAGCTGACACAACGAGGACGATGTCACCGACACTGAGATCCGGGTACTCTTTCCACTACTTGGACATCCATGCTGTCACTCCAGAACACGACATTCTCCATTGCGATGGCGAGTGTCTTGGCTACGGGCACACCAAGACGACATCCGATGACTGCTCCCATTAGCTCGAGTCGGGGAATGCTAACAGCTGATAACGGTGCCACCTTGGCTCGAGCCATGACGAATCGACTGGACCTCGTACCATCCTGGTACACATGACAAAGATAAGCGACTGCTCCATATGCATCTTGCGAGGCATCGCAGAATACATGTAGCTGAGTCTCCACCACCTCCTCATCGCGTTGAAGACACCGGTGAACTCGGACATCCTGGAGTGCATCCATGTCGGCACACCACTGTTGCGCCTCTGCGCCTAGCTCTGGCGGCAGGGAGTCGTCCCAGTCAGCACCTGCTAGCCACATCTTCTGGAACAACATCCGACCAACTATGGTGAATGGCAGTACGAATCCAATCGGATCAAACAATGTGGCTAGGTTCTTCAAGAACGCTCTCTTGGTGACAATGTCTGATGGCGGCTTGACATGAATCAGGAACTCGTCTTCCTCTGCTCGCCACTTAACTCCGAGAGTCTTGGTCGTCGGCAGGATTCCATTAGCGAGGTCCACTTCCTTGGCTCGGTCCTCCTCGGGGACTTCGGCGAGCACCTCAACATTGTTGGAAATCCATTTTCGCACATGCATTCCAGCGAAACCCCACAGCGCCGTAAGCTCGTGGTACAGCTGAATCGCTAGCTCTGTTGACTTTGTCGAGTCCATTGAATCGTCCATGTACGTGGACTTCAACACGGTTTCTGCTGCCATAGGAAACTCCTCCTGGTTCCGCCGCGCATGCTCTTGCGAGACCAGTTGAGCTAAGAATGGAGATGCATTGATCCCGAACACCACTCTATTGTACTGGTAAACGGCCGGTTGGTCCTCCGTATCTTCTCGCCAAAGATATCGATGGAACTGTCGGTCATCCTCTTCCAACTGGATTTGTAGATACATCTCTGCCACGTCGGCTACCAGTGCGTTTGGGTGTCGCCGAAACCGCAGAAGAACGTCGGTGAGGTCCCGTTGTAGTTTGGGCCCAGTGCTGATGTAGTCATTCAGACACTTGCCTTTCGTCTTTGCTGCTGCATCAAAGACCACACGCACCTTTGTGGATGTAGCCCCAGGTCGTACAACAGCAAAGTGCGGCAGATACCAGCCGTCGCCATCACTTGCGTTGCTGATCTTGCTGATATACCCTTGTTCTAAGTGACGGCGAATCACGGTTCGGTATTCCTCAGCGACGTCTGGCTCCTTCGCCAGGCGTCTCTCTGCTGCGATGAGCCGCTTCATTGCAGTTTCTCGACTGCAGTTGTCCGGAGGTGGTCTCTTGATCCACGGCTCCGAAACCTGGTATCTTCCATTCTTGTAGGTCATGGACTGGACCGTCTGATCAAAAACGGCTTGATCATCTGCACAGAAATCGTACGACTGGGGAAGTTCCTCCACCTCCCACATCCTTCTCACCAGTGCATTCAGGTCGACGTCCTTTCCGAAGTACGTGCGGGTGAAATTTGTCGTCTGTTGCGGTCTGGTGCTCCTGCCAACGCATGTCCACCCGAGTGGCGTTCTGCGTGCGAATGGCTCATGAGCCTCACCATAGACTTCCTCCATGCACCTGTGGAGACTAGCGTGGTCAAGGCCGATCAGCGCCTCTACTCGCTTCTTCTGGCATTGCGGAAACTCAATGCCGTTGAGGTGCGGATACCGTGTCTGATCTACCGACCAATCATGAGGTGTAAGGTCACCGGTGACATTCTTGGCAGTCAGAGCAGAGAACTGTGTGATAAATCTGCCATCCAGACTCTCGATGTGGCAGTCGACTGGCATGGTCTCTAGGGTCTCGATGCGACCGTTCAGCGTGCTCACTGACACTTCTTGTGTGGGAGCGCTAAGCTCTAGCTGTGCCGCAACGTCGCAATTAAGGTAAGACTGCGTGCTGCCGTCGTCCAGCAGCGCGTTGACCGTGACATTCTTGTCGCCGTGGCGAAGTATGACGGGAACGGTTCGCAGTGCGACAGCTCCAACGCCGACACTACTCATATGTGTGGCCATGGAACTGGTGTCACCCCCCTCCGTGGAGGCGCTAGACTGGAGCACTGGCTTCTGTGAGGCTCCATTCGAGTCTGTAGTAGTACTAGACTTTCCGTGCAGCAAAGCGTTGTGGGTCTCTGTACAACCATCTGCACCACAGGGCTGCGACCTGGGACAGTTATTTCCCAAATGACCAGAGTTAAGGCAACGGTAGCAAAGCTTGAGCGTCCGGGCCTTCTGCCAACGCTCTGCAATTGACAGCTTCCGATACTCTAAGCATTTCCAAACGGGATGGACCTTCGTGCAGATCGGGCAACTGCTGCTGCTCTGGGCCTTCTTGGGCTTGTCAGCGAAGAATGCCTGATGCTTCACTCCACCATGACTGGCCTGGCCCTTCAGCGGGTGACTCTTTGCTGTTTGAGTGGACCCTACTGGAGTTGCCGTGGAGATACCTTGGATCGTCTCCTGGGCTCGTACTTGGAACTCGCTTTCCAGCTCCACCCATTGCAGAAGCGCTTCGACAGATTCAGAGGTGCTTGTCTGGTGTATCCACTTCTGGTAGCTCAGCAGAAGAGACACCCCCAGCTTCTGTGTTAGCCGGACATAAAATGTCCCGTTAGCCAACTCCTGTGTCTGACCACTAGCCTTCAAATTCACCACCGCGACATCGAGTAGCTCCGCAAAACGCTCCAACTCCTGGGCGTTTGCAGATCTCATCGCTGGGAACTTCTCAAGGGCTTCTAGATGCACTGCAACTAGACGTCGCTGACCACCGAACTTGCGTTCCAGCCTACGTCGTGCTGCCTCATACGCCTCGGCCGAGTAGCCAAGAGTGTCGATAGACCGTAGTGCATCGCCCGCGAGGTATTTTCGGAGCTGCAATAACTTCAGCCCATCCGGAATGTTAGCGCAACCAATGCACATCTCAAACGCCGCCTTCCACGTCTCATATTGCCGCTTGTCGCCCTTGAACGTTGGAATTGACACTTTCTCTAAATGTCGGTACAATTCGATTCTACCAGAACTACTCGCTTGCACTGGTAGACCACTCGGCGATGTCATGGCAACTGGAAGACTGCTCGGCTGCACAAGACCATAATCTTCACTGTGTGATGCGTGACCTGGCTGACCAACTGGTATTTGTTGCA